ATAGGGAAATTTGTCTTGCGAAGCAACTCAAAAAACGAAAAACTCTTTCGTCTTGCGAGTTTTTCGTCTTGCGAGGCATTCGTCTTGCGAGGTACCACTGTACTTGCACTTTGACGTGCTTTCAAACCGCTAGGTTGGCAGGAGCAGGGACCGAGCAACGGGAGCTCATCCCGTCGTGGGGATTCGAACCGCTGACCTTCTGATCAGCAAGTCCTAGGCTCTGTGGTTTAACCCACAGCGCCCCCCGCGTCCCTTCACTGGTTATAGATAGGGACAATTTTGAGATTTTGCGGAAAACAGGACCTATAAGATCAACTTTTCTGGAACTCTACTGCACAAATATAAGAGGAGGGGACACCTGGCTTCCTGGCAGTTAATGTGAAAGGATCTAGGGGTCTTAGTGGACCACAAGCTTCACATGAGTCAACAGTGTGATGAAGCAGCAAAAAAAGCTAATGCTATTCTAGGCTGCATCAACAGAAGTATAGTGTCCAGATCAAAGAAAGTAATAGTACCACTCTATTCTGCCTTAGTCAGACCACACCTGGAATACTGTGTCCAGTTCTGGGCACCACAATTTAAGAAGGCTGTTGACAAGCTGGAACATGTGCAGAGGAAGGCAACCAAGATGACCAAGGGTCTGGAAACCAAGCCTTATGAGGAGCACTTGAAGGAGCTGGGTATGTTTAGCCTGGAAAAGAAGAGACTGAGAGGAGATATGATAGCCATCTTCAAATATCAAATATCTCAAAGACTGTCACATGGAAGAGGGAACAAGCTTGTTTTCTCCTTCTCTGGAGGGTAGGACTTGAACCAGTGGCTTCAAGTTACAATAAGCTGTTTGGCAGTGGAACCATTTCCCCTGTGGCTTTGTGGACTCTGCTTCCTTGGAGGTTTTTAAGCAGAGGTTGGGTGGCCACCTGTCGTGAATTATTCATTTTAGGTTCCTGCATTGCAGAGGGTTGGACTAGATGAACCTTGGCATCCCTTCCAACTCTACAATTCTATGATTCTGTAAAATGGACCTATTCATCCTTCCAAGTTCCTGATATATAGTGGTGCATATGGTGCAAGCATGTCTATGAAGTACACCTACAATTTGAAGGATGTGGTTTTCAAATTGCAAATACAGTAAAATGCAACATAAGAAATAAAAGAAGAAAGAGAAACACCATTAAAGATCATACAGCATCAAGCAGAGTGTGCCACAATTGCTGCAACACGCAGGTCTGTCAAGGCACTCTGCAATTTTCAAGTAGTCTGTGGAGAAATTACAGGTTTTACTACTGTAATTTGTAGTAATTTGTGCAACGGCACTTTTTCCCCTGGCACCCTTGGGCCCGCCCTCACTTAAATATAGTGCACCCACCTCACAGAACACCAATTCCCACAAAGTACCCCAGATTATCTTGTGGGGGACTTGTGTGAGGGGAAACTTAATAATTTGGAGTCTCAGGCAGGATGTGATCAAATAAACAATAAATATTTTATTTAACAAAGGAAGTTTATGACACAAGTGGGTAAAACATAGGATACTTCAGATTATAATGTTATTTCACTTCAGTGCTTTCTCAGTTGTTGCACAGCTGTTGCCACTTAATACTTTGGTTCATAAACAAGGTGTTACTTCCTGTCAGTTACACGCCCCCCCCAGACAACCCTACTCCTGAGGTACTCCAAGTAACAGTCCCAAGGGATCACTGGTTTGGGAGTCTTCTCTTTTTGTAGGAGAATCTCTCCCCTCTTGACTGGAATGAGACCTAAGTAGATTGTATCTTTCCAGCTTCTACTTCTCCTGGCTCAGGCTCAGCCTCCCAGTTAATTCCTGGCCTAATGTGCTGTGGGTTAAACCACAGAGACTAGGACTTGCTGATCAGAAGGTTGGTGGTTTGAATCCCCGCAACGGGGTGAGCTCCCGTTGTTCGGTCCCTGCTCCTGCCAACCTAGCAGTTCAAAAGCACGTCAAAGTGCAAGTAGATAAATAGGTACCACTCCGGTGGGAAGGTAAATGGCATTTCCATGCGCTGCTCTGGTTCACCAGAAGTGGCTTAGTCATGCTGGCTACATGACCCGGAAGCTGTACGCTGGCTCCCTTAGCCAGTAAAGTGAGATGAGCGCCGCAACCCCAGAGTCGGTCACGACTGGACCTAATGGTCAGGGGTCCCTTAACCTTTACCTTTAATTACTCTAACAGGACACCACACACTGTCCTTCACACTAAGCTCAGAGACTCCTTTCTCTAGCTTGTGATATATTCCTCAGAGTGGATGTTTCTACCCAGAACCAACTCTCTCTATTTCCCAACCTATTCTCCCAACCTACAAAACTGTCTCTCAAAATCTTCTCCTTTTCAACTCCCCCTCCTGGAACCCAGGTCAATCATAAGCTGCCATTCGTTAACCATTTGCTGGCAGGGAAAAAGAAAAAGAAAACACTTGGTGAACCAACCTGCCCAGCAAAAACAAACTTCCATCACAACTGATAGCAGCTCTGTAGGGTTTTTGACAAGAACCTTCCTCAGCCCAACCTGGTGATGTCATTTACTGGACTCTCTACATGCAAAAACCTCCTATGTCTCGGGCAAGGAGACATCATGGCATTTGGGGGATAAAGGCACATCTATCACCTTGCAAGAATTAGGGAAATGTTGGTTAATATTAGCATAAAGGTTTTGAGGCTCAGCTGAGATAAGGTCCACTGATTTTCATGGTGTTCAATTGGATTTGCATTAAGGGCTAACCAAAGAACAAGCTGGGGATTGAAGTCCAGGTGTCAGGTGAGACATGAGGACAAAAACTTCACTGATGACTAAGAATGTGTCAACACATGTGATGACATGATCAAACAAGCTTCATTTTTCTTTCTTTTGAAAAGAAAGCAGGCAAATTTGCTTTCCTGGCAAACAGATCCAGATGATAGAAACGACTAGACAGGATCCTCAAATGTAAAGATCTAGGCTGATGATAAATAAAGATAAAACTCTTTGCATTACCAAACCTGCCAGCTGTTTCACAAAATTGCATGGGGTTTTTTTTGGTTTTGGGGTTTTTTTTATAGTAAATTTAGGGTCATTTTGCATTTGGATGTTGACTCCATTGCAGTGCTACAGTGGGGGTGGGGTATACAGTAGCAGAAGAACAAAGGTCCACGACTTTTTTCCAAGCAGGAGTGATGTTGTCATCTGCTTTTGCTCCAGTGTTTGGGAGATGTTCTGGCACGTGAATGAGGTACCGTGGCTTTCACGTTTCACCAATACCCTTCCAAGTGTCCCTATTTTCCAGGGACAGTCCCGGAATTACAGAAGCCATCCTGGTTTCTGATTTCATCCCATAATGTCTCGTTTTTCCTATTTCCTCCCCTCCAGGTCTTGGAGAACAATTAAAAGTGGTATGTGGAGGTGCAAAAGTGGAGTCCTGTTTCTACTGAAAATAAAATACTTGCAATGAATGAAGGAAATAGTGAAGCTGGCCCAGAAAGCCCTTACAATCATTTTGAAGGAAAACGTCACCAATCCACTTTAAATTCTATAATTGGAATGCTTCAGTGGCCAGCAATCTTTTAGGAAACACGTGGAGTGTTGATTCCTTTATTGTAAAGGGAGCCTTAGACTGTCTACTCGGAAGGAAGCGCAGCTGTATTCAATGGAGTTTACTGCCAGGTAACTGCGCAAAGACTAGGCAGTCTGCTTACACAGCAAACCTAAGCATTTTTACTCAGAACTAAGTCCCTTTGAGTTCAATAGGATTTACTCCCTAGTTTGTTCCTGATCAAGCTTCCAGTTTCCATTATTATTATTATTATTATTCTGCCTTTTTCCCTGACAGGGACTCAAGATAGCTTACAGCTAAAAAAAAAAAATTCATTCCATTTATTTGTCAAAGGTGTTGAGCATTATCCCTTTCCTTTCATATTCTTTTCTTTACAACAATCCTGCGAGGTAGGGGAGGCGGAGAGGTTGTCATTGGCTCAAGGTGACCTGTATATGACATGTATGTGTGCAGCGAGATCAAACTCAGGAGAAGAAGCTTCCTGATGTGGAATAGGATATCCCTATCTTCACCGGAGAAATGTTGGAGAGTATGGATTCACTATGGTTTAGGTAAAAAAAAGGTAAAGGACCCCTGGACAGTTAAGTCCAGTCAAAGGCAACTATGGGGCTGTGGCGCTCACCTCGCTTCAGGCCGAGGGAGCCGGCGGTTGTCCACATACAGCTTTCTGGGTCATGAGGCCAGCATGACTAAACTGCTTCTGGCACAATGGAACGGTGATGGAAATCAGAACACACAGAAACACTGTTTACCTTCCCACCTCAGCTGAACCGATTCATCTACTTGCACTGGCGTGCTTTCGAACTTCTAGGTTGGCAGGAGCTGGGACGGAGCAGCAGGAGCTCACCCCATCGTGGGGATTTGAACTGCCGACCTTGTGTTCGGCAAGCCCAAGAGGCTCAGTGGTTTGGACCACAGCGCCACCCGCTAAACCTGTGGTTCAGGGCAGATTAGTATAGGGGAAGTCAGAGAATTGGGAAAACACATTCAAATAACCCATATGTGAAGCCTCCAAACTTAGCTGGGGTGGGATGTAAGTCTGTGTGGCATCCCTGTTCCAAACACTACCTCACCACCCATCATTATTCTGCCCATCAAAAATAAACCGGATGCTCAAATGCTCTGCATCATTTTGCCACACTGAGCAGCACCTAGAACATTCTTGGTGCTAGGTTTGTTTGCCTATGCACACAATTGTGGACGTCTCTCACCCACCCCCGCTCCGACTCCACCCAGGAGACTATTGTGCCTTTTGTGGTGTTGGCCCATTTCTCACCCGAAAAAAAGTTGTGCAAAGAAATTCAGCAGGATTATACTGTTGAAACGGCCTGCTATTTGATTAAGGTCCCCTTTCCTTATGAGAACTGTTTGTTCTCTTTTTGTCAAGCTAGGTGTGGAAGGCAGGGTCAAGATAAATATCAGGTGTAGATCCACCCCACACATCCTTTCTTGGCTGGAGGAGGCATAGAAGGCACCTGAAATATACTTAAGACACTGCAGTTCCAGGGCAAAGGTGCAGCCAGGATGGAAACTATCTCTGTTTTCCTTCTGCTGGCAGTGGGTAAGTAGGAGACTCCGAAGCCAGCTCTTTGCTTTGGACTGTTTTTTCCATTAATGGCAGATCAAGCCTCATCTTATTGTAAAAGTAGGTTCAGTTTTGGGTTGACTTGACCTGTCAGCAGTCTACTACAGCTACCTTCACAATGTGTGGGGGAATATTAAAAGCTTGTTGTTTCATTCAATGTTTGTGCCGTGCTTTTCAGTTAAAAATAGAAAAGGTGACTTATAATTATCAATTTATTTTGAGAAGAACAATTTTACAAAAAGGAACTGCAGCAATTGTGGAAGTGGCTGGGGGTGGGGTAGGGATATTGTACAAAATCAGGAGTACAGAAACCAAGTTGTGAGGGACTTTTTCAGCCCGGTGGGCCAATTTCTTAGCTCCCCTGCTCCTGGTGGGCCACTTTGATAGGTGGAATGCATGGCAGACACCTAAGGTCACCAAAATGTCCAGTGAGACATTTCTTCCTTGGCAGTGTGGTGGAGCAGTTGATCCCAGTGGGTCTCGACGACCCAGTGGGTCTAGAAGCTGGCACTAAGTTCAAGCCATGCTTTTTGGCAGGGATCATCTCCACTCCAGAGCTCTGATCAGAAGCTCCCGAGTGTGGAATCAATCCCAGTTGGCCTTGCAATTGGAGCCAGACTTAAAAGGACTTGAATACAAGCCCTGCTTTTCATGGAACTATTGGGAACACATTTCAAGTCTCCTGGTTGTTCTTTCCTATCTGGATCTTTACTTGCCCCACCCGCAGGGGGCCAAGGTGTCTTTAGCCTCCTTAAAATCTCTGGGCAAGGGGCTGGGCCTTCTCAATGTCTGTCAGCCTTCCTGACTACTGACTTTCTCCACAAGCCCAGAGCACCAGTGCCGGATGGAAAGGCATGTTGTGCTCATCAGCAGGATTGAGCCAAGGCGCTGGACTTTCGGCACTCTGGTGTGATCCTGCTGACGAGCCCATATAGTTTTGTGTCTCAGATCAAATCATTTGATAAAGGTAGGTCTTCTTTAAACCCTGTGAAGGATGGGGCTCTGCTTATCATTTCATTTTATAGAATCATAGAATTGAACCATTGGAAGGGACTGCAAGGGTCACCAGCTCCCTGCAACACAGGACTCTTTTTGCCCAATGTGGGGCTCAGATTTACAATCCCGAGATTAACAGTCTCATGCTGTACGGACTGAGCTATCCCTTCCAATACAACATCCCCAAAAGGTTTAACCACAAAAACATCATCAATAATAAATATATATATAAACACTATTTCAAAACCGTGGTAAGAATTTACAGGTACATTCTTACCACAAAATTAAGACAGGGTAGAAATAGTCATTGAAAAATCTTGCTGGCTGGGAAAGGGTCGAAAAGATAATTAACAACAGTATCTGATGGGAGTTCCAATAGGTAGGTGAAACTGCACTAAAGACCAATTCCTAACTATTATGGAATGGGCTTCCTGGTGAGATAATATTTGCAAAGGCCCTCTCCTGCAAAGTACAGAGGCCAGTTTGGGTATATAAGGCGTGAGGCAATGTTTTAGGTATCTGAATCATATGTCCCACAGTTGCGAAGTACACTGAAAATGTTCTCTTGCCAGCCATGGTAGCTTGGACTTCACTGATTTGTTACAGGGTATACGTGTGGCTAGATGGCTGCGTTGTCTTCTGGCAAGCCTTGGATGAGATAGCATATTCAGTAGTGGGGGCATCAATCTTATTGCTACTGTTTACCAGCAGAGAGAGGAAGAGGAGGAACCAGGGGGCAGAAAGGTCAGGGTGGTGGAAATGCACCAGCAGATGCACAGTACAATCTAGATAGCATTGGGGCTCTCTCTCTCTCTCTCTCTCTCTCTCTCTCTCTCTCTCTCTCTCTTGCTGCCACATCACCCTGTTGACTTAGTTTGTGGTCAACTAAGACCCCCTAGATCAAATCTCGATTTGAAACTCAATGGAACACTTCTGGAATCTGCATTAAAAACTCTTGTCTCTCCCTGTGTATGCCTGTAAACATGAAACAGATCTGATGGCTTCTCTCTTGCTGCTCTTTAGGGTCAACCCTGACCTCTCCAACCGATGCCTCCAAAGGTAAGATCTACTTGACTGGTGGGCCTGAATTTGGGCTGAGGATTTGCCTTGAACAAATGAATGGCAGTGCACTTATAAAACATTCAGGCATTACTCCACCAAACATTGCAAGCATGTGTGGTGGAGGATTCCAGGCACCTTAAGACCTCCACCCCCACTGATTCCACCCCCAATTCCCATGTTCACTGGGAAGGTTTGAAGGAGAATTTTGCAGGCTTCCTGATCCTGGGGGATATCCTAAGCGTTTTCTTATAAAGGACACATTCAGGCTGTATACATGCCATATGTTAAAGCACATGGTTTCCCCCAAAGAATCCTGGGAAGGGCAGTTCACCCCCTTGCAGGGCTAGTTCCCAGCACCCTTAACAAACCATAGTTCCCAAGATCCTTTGGGTGACGTTTGTGCGCTTTATGCAGCCTCAGACCCAGATAGAGGGAGGAGAGGCTGGCCAAACACATAGCCCTCCCTCCTCCCCAGGGGGCCTTCTGTAAAATGAGTTGCTGGCTTGGGCTCTAACAAGATGCTCCCTTCTCCTCTAGAATCATTGATGTACCCTTATGGGACTGCACAGGGTGACACAAAGAACCCCAAGTCAGATGATGGGACATCTACAAAGATCATCACTGCAGTGCCCTTCAGCTTCTATGGCAAAAAGTACAGCTCACTCTACGTACGTAATGCCTGACCAAAGCCCCAGTCTACATGTTTCTTGACTAGAAGGGCAGGTGGTACAGAACACTGCTCACCTGTCATTGAGATCTAGCAGGCTGCCTTGTACTGTCCCATCTTCAGTCTTGCTATCTAATCTAGTTGTCCATCTGTGCATCCATCCATTGATGGTTCCAGGTTTCAAGGAACCTTCGGCAAGGTTCTACCTCCTCACCATCACTGTTGCCACCTACTGATTCTCCTCATTTCTGAGGTCAGTGTTGGCAGGTGTTCAATCACACCAACAAGGGGTGCCAACTTGAATAAAATATTGGGGGGGGGAGTAAGCCCCATCCTGCATGATAAATCACATGATGTCACATACACACACACACCATTTGAATGGCAATGTCCATCAACTTTGGGGGACGCGGGTGGCGCTGTGGGTAAAACCTCAGTGCCTAGGACTTGCCGATCGTATGGTCAGCGGTTCAAATCCCCGCGGCGGGGTGAGCTCCCGTCTTTCGGTCCCAGCTCCTGCCCACCTAGCAGTTCGAAAGCACCCCTAAGTGCAAGTAGATAAATAGGTACCGCTTTATAGCAGGAAGGTAAACGGCATTTCTGTGTGCTGCGCTGGTGCTGGCTCGCCAGAGCAGCTTCGTCACGCTGGCCACGTGACCCGGAAGTGTCTCTGGACAGCGCTGGCCCTCGACCTCTTAAGTGAGATGGGCGCACAACCCTAGAGTCGGACATGACTGGCCCGCACTGGCAGGGGTACCTTTACCTTTACCTAAGCCCCTCAAATATTTTAATGGGGGGCTGAAGGGACCTCAGCTTCTAGGAGTTGGCTCCTATGACGCCAACCCTATATCTCTCAGTCTACCTACCTGCTGTCATTCACACCTGTATCTCTCTCCTTTCTTCAGGTCAACAACAACGGGGTGGTCTCCTTTGGTGTGAATGTCTCACAGTACACACCCGACCCTTTCCCGCTGGATTTAGGGTCACCCTTTGTCGCCCCCTATTGGGGGGACGTTGACAATACTAGAGGTGGGGATGTCCTCTGGAGACAGACTCAGGACTCTGCAGTGCTTAGCCGCTGTACCGCAGACATCAACCAGTACTTCCCAGAGATGTCTTTCACGGCTGTCTGGGCCTTGGTTGCTACCTGGGACCGTGTTGCCTACTTTGGAAGTGCTTCAAAAAAGGTAGGCCTCTCCCTGACCTATAGTAGCCAGCTGCAGGAGATGATAGGGCCCTGGGTGGCGCAGAAAAGGGACTTTCAGCAGATGAAACTTACAAGGGCAACACTTGCCAAAAATGCCTCTACTCTCCCTGACCACTCAGCATTGTCCCACCACTATCCCTCTGACCCTTTTCGCCTTGGGGGTTCCCCATCTGGTGCCTCCCACCATTCCTCTACATCCAGCCAGTCCATGACACAGCCACACAAAAGTCAGAGGTTTGTAACGTTCAGTCCCCGGGTCTGAGGTTCCTCCCCTGCCCTAACCCTTAATATGCAATGTGAAAATGTGGTAACAAGAGGAACGGATGGGGAACCTGTTGTTGGACTCCAGCCACCATCATCTACAACCAGTGTGGTCAATGGGGCGGCAACATCTGGAAAACCGCAGGTTCCTCTGTCCCTAATCTACCGGTAGATGATTTCCCTATCACTCTTGATGAAGAAGACTTCCCCATGTAGCCCTCCTACTTTGTGTGCCCCAGAGACAGAGCTGCATCTCTTTGTGCTGTCCTTAGCTCCACAGTCCAATGTCTCTTTTCTTTCTGCTGCAGACCAACACTTTCCAGGCTGTCTTGACCACCAATAACGAAATCGCTTTCATCATTTTGAATTATGTCGACATCCAGTGGACAACCGGGATAGCAAGCGGTGGGCATCCCAGGACAGGCCTTGGGGGAACCCCTGCACAGGTATTTGATCTGAATAGGAACACTGAGGGAATCTGACCTTTGCAGATTCCGATATGAAACTGACCTGGTCTCTGACCTCCCAGACCAACATGTGGGTCAGAACATCCTTTGGGTTTCATGCTTCTCCAGAGCTTTTGGCCAAAACCAAAAGTATCAAAATACAGTGGTACCTCGGGTTAAGAACTTAATTGGTTCCGGAGGTCCGTTCTTAATCTGAAACTGTTTTTAACCTGAAGCACCACTTTAGCTAATGGGGGCGCCTGCTGACGCTACACAATTTCTGTTCTCATCCTGAAGCAAAGTTCTTAACCCAAGGTGCTATTTCTGGGTTAGCGGAGTCTGTAACCTGAAGTGTCTGTAACCCGAGGTACCACTGTATATGTTTTAAATGGAGATTAAAACAAAACAAAACCACATTTGTTTTGTGAGAAAAGGTGTTTGGGATACTCATTATGGGTTGTATCCAATGTTCTCTGTCTGCACAAGCAGGTGGGCAAGTTTTCATTCTCTGCAATGAAGGACTCTGCAACACAAGGGAGAACTCCAGTGAAACAGTTGCGTTAGTGAGAACTTGTTGCTCAATAAAACTACCAGCAACTTGCTTCTGTGTTCTCTTGTGCAACAACTTCCCGCTGCTGCAGAATATTTTGCCAGGGGAACAAGTATACAGCCAAGTGACTTTGACTTGGATACAACCCTTAAGTATTAATGGGGGGGACAGTTCCCCCCCCTTTTTCTTAATGGACAGATTAAGAGCTCATCCGCATTCCTGCTTCTCCCATGCCTAGGAAGCATGGGTCTGAGCTGTTTTCTGCTTATCTCACATTTTCTAGGCATGCGTCCAAGTGGTAGTGCCTTTGCCCCAAAGCTTCCCCCCCAACCCCCCCCCCCTGTATTTAGCACTAAATCAGAACAAACACCAATCCATGGGAAACCTGCCATTTGTTCCAATTCAGAAGTGGAGTAAATGGAGGTGTGGCTAAGCCCTTAGCGTTTAACTTTAGAATCATAGAATTGTAGAGTTGGAAGGGACCCAACTCCCTGCAAAGGATGCTTCGCCATGATATCCAGATATGCTTTGTATGCATCTGAGCCGATTCTGCTCTTAAGCAGGCCTGGCTTTGTAAGTGATCAGATGGGAGAAACCACCTGCAGATGATGGGTATAAGCTGCCTTGCTGAAATCAGAAACAGCAGGCTATCCATGTACAGAGTTAAACTGCCATGTGAACAGTCCAACAGATCAATATTTCCATCCTGAGTGATTTCATGAATGTTGAAATTGTACTGTAAAGTGCAATGCATAACCTACAGCAGCTTTCCGCCAACTTGGTGTCCTCCGCATGCCACTAGACTACAGCTCCCATCATCCCTGATCACTGGCCATGTGGCCTGGGGCTGATGGGAGTTGCGATCCAAAAGCAGCTGGAGGGCACCAGGTTAAGGAAGGCTGTCTTAAAATACTATCTGAATGTCAGCCCATTAACTCACTAACTGGAAAGAAATTGGAGGTGTTATTGTATTTTTGTTCCAGTTATATCAGCAGTTATGGCAAAGATTGGCCCAGCACTAATTGCTGATATCTGGAGAGCGGGTCCTGGATTTTCATTGTGATGGGTTTTTTGGCAAGGGAGGGGTCTCTACTGCCAGGGCTTTACTTTTCCTGTGCTAAGTCCAATAACTATTTTGCACCCCAAATGCGGTGGCAATGAACTTGGATTCCACAACCCAAATTTAATTACGCAGAATGAGGGAAATTGCATGCTCTTCTTATCGATGAATGGGACACGGGTGGCGCTGTGAGTTAAACCATGGAGCCTAGGACTTGCCGATCACAAGGTTGGCAGTTCAAATCCCTGCAACAGGGTGAGCTCCTGTTGCTCGGTCCCTGCTCCTGCCAACCTAGCAGTTTGAAAGCACGTCAAAGTGCAAGTAGATAAATAGGTACCACTCCAGCGGGAAGGTAAATGGCATTTCCATGCGCTGCTCTGGATCTCCAGAAGCAGCTTAGTCATGCTGGCCACATGACCCGGAAGCTCCCTTGGCCAATAAAGCGAGATGAGCGCCGCAACCCCAGAGTCAGTCACAACTGGACCTAATGGTCAGGGGTCCCTTTACCTTTACCTTATCCATGAATTTATTCTGAAGGTTTTGCTTTTTCATTTATTCTGCTTCTGCAACTCGAAGGAGGAACAAGGAACAAGGGCATGGCATTTCTGACCTCTGATCGCTGGAAATCTGATTCATTAATGCTTCTAGCTTCTGAAATGTGCAAAGCTTTGCTTGAACAATTTCAGGAAGCAGGCATCGAACAATAAGGGAAGTTGAGGGTTTGCTTGTGGTGTTTCTATGTTTTCTAAATGAAAGCTGAAATTCTCAGTAACCGAATTCTGCAGCTAGTTCCATATTCCTGTGGCTATAACGTGCTTTAGGGCTATTTCACAGCAACCACACAATCACATCTGGCTATTGCTAAATCAGCTTTCAGTTGCCAGTGCAAAAACAAACAAACCTAAAAACCCACTCTTGAAGATTCTGCTGCAGTTATCCCGCTGTCATACAGATATTTGCCCTGATCTGGAGCCTGGGTGGTTGTTATTTACAGATATGTCCTGCCCTTCTTCCAAACTGCTCAACATGACATTCCAGATTCTCTATCCCTGTTTGAGGCAGTGATGGCCACCAGCTTTGATGGCTTTCAAAGAGTGTCTAATCCTCACTCTTTTGAGGACCTCTCAATAATTGTTAAAAAAAATTCAGGGGGCGAGGGAGGCCAGTCGTGTCTCCTCCTCCTTCTCCTTTTTTAAAAGAAATTTTATTTTTCAATTTCTGAAATTGTTAACAATTATACAATCATACAAATTAAATAAGTTTTCCAATAAAAACACATCGTTTGACTTCCCTCCCCACTCCTTCTGTGGTTTCTTATGCTTTAATTTTCATTACTGCACCTCCCAATTGTTGTTGTTGTTGTTTAGTCGTTTAGTCGTGTCCGACTCTTCGTGACCGCATGGACCAGAGCATGCCAGAGTCTTCCACTGCCTCCCACAGTTTAGTCAAACTCATGCTGGTGGCATGCACCTCCCAATTAATTCTATTGATTCTACTCCCTGTGTTTTCCTTAACAAATACATCCACCCCCATTGTTCTGACCGGACACTGAGGTCCAGTGCCAAGGGCTTTCTGACGGTTCCCTCACTATGAGAAGCCAAATTACAGGGAACCAGGCAGAGGGCCTTCTTGGTTGTGGCACCCGCCCTGTGGAACGCCCTCCCACCAGATGTAAAGAGAAAAACAACTATCAGACTTTTTAAAGGCATCTGAAGGCAGCCCTGTTTAGGGAAGCTTTTAATATTTAATAGGTCATTGTATTTTAATATTCTGTTGCAAACCGTCCAGAGTAGCTGGGGAAACCCAGCCAGATGGGCGGGGTATAAATAATAAATTATTATTATATATTATTATTATTTAACAGTTGTTTTAGATTAATCCTGCTAATGAGCTTTGTTGTTTACAAAGGTTTTACAGATAGTCCATGAATCTTCCCCATTCTTTATTAAAAGTTGTTTCTCCGTGGTTTCCTATTCTTCCAGTAAATTTTGTCATTTCAGCATAATCCATTAATTTAATCTGCCACTCCTCTTTGGTTGGGACTCTTCTCCTCCTGCTGCTGCGGAGGAGGAGGAGAAGAAGGGGGGAAGCAGACCCCAGCCAGTGGCGGCAGTCGGAAGAGGAGGAGGAGGAGGCTGAGCACCAGAGAGGAGGAGCCACTGGCCAATGAGGCCGCACTGCTGCCACATTCGGCTCCACCTCCTAGCTCCTCCCAACATCCTGACATCACATGCATGCGTCATCGCCCCCCTCCAAATCTCCTTCACAAGTTGGGCTCTGATGGAGAGCAAAGCCATCAGCAACTCTCCTAAGCCTGATGGCTATTTTCTACCTCCACTTCATGCTTCCAAAGACCAGTTTGTGGGAACTGCAGGTGCTGTGTGCTGAGGACCTGCTTGCTGGCTTCCCATAGACATCTGGTTGGCCAGTGTGATAACATTTTGCTGGACTTGATGAGCCACTGACCTTACATTCTTATGCATACGGGTAGTACATCTGAGCCGTGAGGCGGGAAAAAGGCAGCGGCAGGGGTTAACAGTTTAAAATATATATATACATTTGGTTTTTCAACTTAAAATTTTACAAAAATATATCAAACATAAAAACAAGATTCCAAGGAATCTCCTGGACTTCCATCCTCCCCTTGGTGGGTCCTATTATTAATCCTTTCCTCCCATATCTTTTATGATAAGCCAAATCTTTTACCTCTCCATTATGTGCAGCATTCAACCTTAAACTACAAGTGATATTCCAATCCTACTAACGACTTTAACTGTTTACAATGGTCTTTAAGATAAGTTATAAATTTTCCCAATTTTTTATTGAAATTTTCGTCTTCCTGATTTCTGACTCTTCCAGTCATTTTAGCCATTTCAGCATAGTCCATTAACTTCATCTACCATTCTTCTCTGGTAGGAACTTTATCTTCTTTCCATCTCTGGGCCAGTAACAGCCTCACAGCCATGGCCACATACATAAATAGTCTTTTCTGCTCCTTTGGGATTTCAGCACCTAGAATTCCTAAAAGGAAGGCTTCAGGCTTTTTAAACAAAGGTTATTTTAAATATTTTTTTTAAACTCATTATATACCATTTCCCAAAATCCTTTTGCTACCTTACAGTTCCACCACATATGATAAAAGGTGCTTTCTTTTTCCTTACATTTCCAGCAATGTTTTATACATTTTTGCGAATTTACTAGCAGTTAAAGTCCATGTTTTATACATTTTTTGTGAATTTACTAGGAGTTAAAGCCAACCAAACATTTCCACACATACATGAATATGCAGAAAGGGATCAAGACTGAGGAGAATGGACACTACATTGCTTTTCTCCTTTCTTCACTCCCTAGGCTGGATTTGACAGTGGAGACAAGAAAAACTTTTACAACATCCCAGCATCACGCACCCCCAGTGTCCTCAATATCACACAAACCACCAACGTGCAGTTTACAGGGCGATGGGTGTTCCAAGTGGATGAGATTGTGATTGGAGACACAACGGAGAAGAGCAAATGCTTGGAGTAAGTGCCAGCAGACCCTGTCCTTTGAGAGGGGTGGTTTTTGTTTGGATTGTTTTAATAATACTTATATTACATCAGGGCCTGATTTAGGTTTGATGAGGCCCTAAGCTACTGAAGGTAATGGGGCCCTTTATATGTCCAGTTGTCCTTTGTCAACAAATTGTCGCTGTTTTTTTGTTGTTGAATATATGCTATATGGTAATTTGTGGACCTAATAGGTATCTAAAGCCATTTGCACATAACAAAATTTATCAAAGTAATTGTTGAACTGAAATACAATTAAGAAGAAGCATTTTAATAGTGAAATACAATTAAGAAGTATGTTAACAGTGAAATAATTATTAAGCTCTAACTTAAAATTATTTTTTTATTCATAACAAACTTAATAATGCAAACACACTGGCATTTGGCAATAACAAAAGTTCCTTTAGAAACTCAGTTTACAAAGACTCATAATCTAGTCTCTAGAAACTTGCTATAACATGAAATAATAATAGGTGTAAATATATGATGCAAACTACTAATAATTATAAATAGCAGAATGTAGGCACCCTATATATAGAAATGAGAAAACCAGTGACATTTTAGGGAGCAGGCTAGCAGGCGGGGCCCATTACTTACATCATAGGAGCCTACACAACACAAAACACTGTTGCTGTGTGTAGATTTTATTTTATTGGGTTTTTTTATCTTATATTTTGGAAATGTACATCCAGGTTTTTTTTCCTTTACTTTTTTGGGGGGTCCCCAAGAGAGTGGGGCCCTAAGCTATAGCTTGTTTAGCTTATACATAAATCCGGCACTGTATTACATTTTTAAAAAGATCCCTACACACATGCACTGTTCTTTATGGACAAGGATACTGGAAGCTGCCTCTGCTGGTGACATGCTCATTCTAGGCTTGTGTTTTAATCTTTCAAGCTGTCACAATGTTCCCTTAATAATGTGTGGGTGGGGATGTGGCAGAGGCTGTTAAGAAAAAATTAGCAAGTTGCTAAAACGGGCAGGAGTAGGGATCTGCTTTTCAGTACAAATGTTTCTGTCTCTTTTCACTAGATGAGACCACCTGCTACTCAAGAGAGCCCCCTCCTCATCCACCCGTGTCAAGACAGGATGTACTGTACTCAAATCTTTGCAAAGATCCCTCTGCTGCCCCCTATAGGCTTGGAGCCATGGCTGATTATGGCGTACCAATAAAATGGCTGTGCTCTCGTTGCTACTCTCCTTTGTCTGTTCCCTGAGTGACTGGAGCTGAACGTGCTTTATGAAGTCAAGAAATGCAGGAGTGTGTGTGTGCATGCGTGTGTGCATGTGTGCCTTTGATGAACAGAGGGTGTTGAGGCTTAATCTTACATGAAAGTCATGCCTTCTGAACCTTGACCCCCTTCACTGTCACAGTGGAAAGCAAAGACTCTTCTGGCAGTGCCCCAATGCCTCAAGCAGCAGCAGCAGAAATCCAGTCCATGGCACTTTCCTCTCGACATTGCTGCTTTCCCCTGTGATGGGGAAGCTGCACCTATTGAGCTTCTGCCTATCATGCAGAGCAGACAACGCCAGTCGGGGTGTGAAAGACCCAGTTCCTTCCAGGTTATGAACTCTGGCTTTGAAAACTGGTTCCAGGTGCTGAGTCAGCCCCACCAGCATCCGCAAACTCAAATCATTGTGCTCCAGTTGAATTGGATGTGTGGCCTCTGTGTGTGTTTTAAAGTCACCAATGTGCTAACATTTACATTGCAGAGCATGTAAAGATTAAGCAGGATGTGCAACCGCTGTGCAAAGACTAGAGGCGAGGTGCATGAGATAAATAATGAGCCACACCTCACATGTTTAAAGCCAGTGGCAGATATTATGTTGTCAGCTGCTGTTCTCTGCAAAGAGAGTCTCTTGTTGTTGTTGTTGTTGTCAATAATAATAATAATAATAATAATAATAATAATGCATTTTTGCAAGTTAAAGAAACACCAAACAATATTCATCATTATCTCTTATCCTCAGACTTTCCAATCCATCTCTCCGTGGCATTCTGGGTAGTCTTTTGTCTGCTGCATAATCTATTATTCTACCCATTTTCATCTCAAATCCTCCTCCATTTAATGTTATCTGCTGCTCACATGTTCATTCCTACTTGTAGGTTAAAGTGACTATTATACCCTCTGAGATACTCTTCAAAACACTTCCACTCATCTCTGATCCGTGACTCATCCTTATTTCTTAGCAAAGAGAGTCTTTTGGAGAACCACTTTGTTGCACAAGACCTCCCCATCAACTCTAATTCTGTGGCCGAATACATACCATATTTTTCTTCCATTTGCCATTATGTGATTGAATCCCACCCCAAAATAGTGACAGTCTGAATGGAAGCACCTGCAACAGGGGTCAGCAAGGCTTACTGGGCATGGGACAGATCATTCCCGCAGAGATCCTCTGTGGGCCGGGCCAGCACAGCATGACACCAGAAATCGCGTGCTCTGGTCCATGGGATCACGAAGAGTCGGACACGACTAAATGACTAAACAACAACAAGGTGCTGCTGGAAGGAATTTTTTTTATTTTGTTCCAGCTACAATCTATCTGTGATGCAACAGCGCCACTGCCTGGGTACCGGTGAGAAATACACTGTGGGAAATGGGAGGCGTCATGTGATCTCGATTGGTTGCCACACAAGACAATGATGGTAACGTTTTGCCCTGATCATCCCAGGCAGAAGTCCACACTTTAACAATCCGTGTCCAAGAATTCAGACCCAGACCCAGGTCCCGCTTTTAACCCATACATATATTTCCCATATTTCAAAAGGTAAAAATCCAGATCCCACCACAAATTTGTTGAGCTTTTCTTGGGAGGCCCACCCCCAAAGGTTGTTCAGACTAACCCCCGCACCACCACCAATTGTGCCACCAACACAGCACCCAAACCCAGACATTAGCTACAGTTTTATTTTTAAAAAAACTCACCCCCAAAAGGAAACAAATCCAGGACTCCTCTGGGATTTCCACTTGGGGACCCAATTCTTAACCTTTTACTCTATATTCCCATGGTGGTAGTGCTCCGGTCGTGTTGCAAACCAACTTGGATAAGGCTGCGATGTTCTAGTGGGTCCCAATCCATCAGTTGAAGAGCAGTGCTTGAGGGGTAGCCACGATTGTTTGAAGTGCTGTGATACTGATTTAAGTGCATAGCTCTGATGGGCCCACACACTTCTCCCACCAGGCAAATAAGAGGCATTATCGAAGTTCAGAGACACATTCCAGCCAGGCAAAAAGACCTTGCAAGGCAGGACTGGTGACTGGCATGATGCAGGAGGAAGGTAGTAGCCTGGGAAAACTCCTGAGGGCCAGTTTCAAAGCCCTGGGGGGCCACATCAGTCTACAGACCAGATGTTCCTCACCTCTGTTCTAGCATGTCAGAAGCCCTGGAAATGCACTAAGCTATATGAAAACAGAAGACCAGAAATTTTGAGTAATGTATAATATCGTTATATAATATTTCTTGTTTTGCATTCATATCTTGCTGAAAGATATGTAGTGCAGTTTGGGGAATCTTTATTTGTCCAGTCAACCCACATCCTGTTTGCAGTTTTTCTTATTCTTATTCTTATTCTTATTCTTATTCTTATTCTTATTCTTATTCTTATTCTCATGTGAGGCCTAGTTCAGTAACATTATATTTGCTATACAGTCATACCTTGTGTTACAGACGCTTCAGGTTGTGCGTTTTCGGGTTGTACACCATGCCAAACCTGGAAATACCGGAACAGGTTACTTCCTGGTTTTGGCGCTTTGCGCATGCACAGAAACGCCAAATTGTGACCCGCGCGTGTGCAGACATGGGGCTGCGGGTTGCGAATGCTGCAGGTTGTGAACGTGCCTCCCGCACGGATCACGTTCACAACCCGAGCGTCCACTGTAGTTTCTTTTGGAAATCTTTTTCATTATTTTTGTTCAAAATGGTCCTATTCATTTTCAGGGCTTCCATTGATTGGCTTCTTACATTTCCCCTGATCTACTTTTAAAATGTTGCTCTTAACTTAAAGGTTGCCAGTCTTCCCATCAAATAACAGGCCACACCGCCTTATCAAAATCCCAGTGTTTTATTTGCATGGGTCACGATAGACATAGATTTCTTCAAAGATGATCTAGGATGAGCCAAGAAACCTCCTTGGTGCCTAAGTGCACATTTAGTATTTTTTACTCTTGACATTGGAAATGGCAGTCAAGGAGGATGGGATGAAGGAACAGCGTCAGAGAGATCTGGGATCCTTGCAAGCATCTGGAAGAGCAACAGAGTCGCCTGAGCTCACGTTCTGGTAAACCACCACAACCTGCAGGAAAAGAACACCCCAGGAGAAAAATTAGTCTTGCTGTGCATTTACAGTGCTGATCAGCTCCTGAGCAACTAACTCTGCTTGCTATCAGTAATAAGGGATGAGCTCTGGGCCATTGAACTTAGAGGGAGACTTCTAGCCCCAAGGTGAAATGCTGTTTTGACAACAAACACCTTATTTGGGGAGCAAGGAAGCAGGCCCCACCCTGGGATATCTTTGCCTACTCTGGTCACCAAACTCCACTCTCTTCAGTCTTACCGTTTCGGTGTAGTTCTCCTGGCAAACAGTCTTGCACCCGAACGCAGAGGTGGAGATAGCAATGCAAAACGCAAGGATGTTGAATACCAGGAAGACAGCCAGGATTCCATACAACATGTTCTGTCGATGAAGCAGAGAACCCAGCAAAGGGAATTACCCTCCAGCAAGGTGTATGCTTGTCTATAGGTGTATTTCAAAGACTCTCAGGCTAGGACCTGGCAGTCCAGGGTTCAAATCCCCACTTGCCAGGTGCCTTTGCTCAAGTCATCTCTTTCAGCCCAGCCCTTCAACCCCACAAGGTTGTTTAGAGCATGTAGACCACCTCGAGCTCCTTGGAGACCTGAAGGAGCGTCTCCACCCCCATCGTTCTACCCAAACACTGAGGTCCATCACTGAGGGCCTTCTGGCGGTTCCCTCGCTGCGAGAAGCCAAGATACTGGGAATCCAGGCAGAAGGCCTTCTCGGTAGTGGCACCCGCCCTGTGGAACACCCTCCCACCAGATGTCAAAGAGAACAACAACAACCAAACTTTTAGAAGACATCTGAAGGCAGCCCTGTTTAGGGAAGCTTATAATGTTTGATGTATTACTGTATTTTAATATTTGGTTGGAAGCTGCCCAGAGTGGCTGGGGAAGCCCAGCCAGATGGGCGGGGTATAAATAAATAAATTGTTATTGTTATTATTATTATTATTATTATTATTATTAGTGATCAGGTGGGACAAGAGCAAAAATAATAATGCACACAGATACCCAGTGCCACCGGACACTGAGGGGCAGCAGACTAACTTGGCTGCCTAACTTGGCTGCCTACCTCAAGAACCCACAAGGCTTCCAATTGCTTAAGTGTCGCTGGGACAATGCAAAATGCACCAAACGTACGTAATTCCAAGATCAAAGGGGATTACTCTCCATCATAGCTGTCAACTTACAGATTTGAAAATAAGGGACCCACAGCCTCGAAAATCAGGGATCAGCAGCCAAAATAAGGGATTTTCCAAGCACAGGTATGTTCAACTTCTGAGCACCTCCAAGCCAAAGGCAGAAAGCCCAGCCAGCAGCCAAACAAAGCCTCAAGCGGTGGTTCCTGTTGGAAAACTAGCCCCGTCTGGAGAGGCTGGCCCCTCTCCCTGCTCTTGGAGCTTGTTTACCGGAGATCTGCCTCTGGCTGCGTTCCCAGACAGACCAGGGAGATCTTGATATAGGCGACATTTCCCAGCGTGGAAAATGCACATCCACTTCTCCCCCTTGCGCAGGGGAAAGAAGAGTAGTCAGAAATCTATTTACGTATTGTTTATTTCTGACATTACAGCTCTACAGAAAATGTGTCCGATCACTTCAGTTTCCATCCAGCAAGTGACAAAGACTTCCTTTACAAACACAACAGGAAGGTCTCAAATTACCCACTGGACACAGACTCCCAAAGCCTGTGAACTTCCAGGAATTTACTTTCCCACAGCTAGCCATATCACATGATGTCAACAAGCTGGCTGTCTGCAGCTGCGATGTTCTCATATTGTAACAGTTCCCACAGCACAGCAACCCAGCAAAGGGGATGCAGCAAGGAAAACCACCGTCACCTCTCCGCTGGGAAGCGCTGAGCAAAGGCGAGTCCCCAGGCAACGCGGCTGATTTGATCGGCACAAGGCATGCAAGCTCCACCCCCCCAGCCATTCTTAGACTCCTTATTGGGTGAGCAACACAGCCAAGCAACCCAGTTGGAGCCTCCTTCCTCCCTGGCCGGCAGGGAGGGAGGGAGAGGAGCTGCTTCCTTTGAAACCCGGGAAATTTAAGGGACATCATCAATCAGGGACAGCAGCAAGACACAGCGCTGGGATAAAGGACTTTCCCGCCAAATAAGGGACGGTTGACAGCTATGCTCTCCATTTATAAATGTGTGTGTATGTGAGAAGAACAGAGTTTGTATCAGACCAGTGGACCATATAGTCCAGCACCCTGTTACCATTGCTGACAACCAGATGCCTTGTGAGGATGCAAAAAAAATAATAATGCACACAGACACCCAATGCCCCTTGGACACTCTGGGAGACCAGGCAGAGCTGCCTAACTTGGCTGCCCCCCCCCCGAAGTGTTCAAGGGCTCCCCTTGCTTAAAAGACCCTCAGTCAAAGCCAAACGCAGCAGACTTAAGCAATTCAAGTAATCCCATAACTGCTCTGTTTATGTCAAAGCACCGCTCTACTCACACCATGACTTGCTGTGTTCATCCTTCCATCCTGTCCTGCCAAGGTTGTCTAAACACACATTCTGGTGCATTTTCCAGTCATTTTCCTTATCCAAAAAGGGTCTGTTTTCAGCAGGGGAGTGTGTTTCTTGCACAAGAGCGTATCGAATCCACTTTAATCTCACAACCTGGATCTGCCAGGATGCAATTGGAATCCCGCCCCAAAATAGCAACAGTCTGGAAGTGCCCTCACTATGATGAGACCGGCACTTACCCAAGGGAACACTGGGGATTTATTATACCCACTGTACTTTTTCGGATGATGCTCATTGCAGCTCTCTCACCTTCCTATGCCAATGGTAGTCACCCATTGAAAAACAGAGGAAAATGATTCCAATGCCAGCCGCTACAGAACTCACGACGTTCATTCCCAGCATCCCTTTCACCTAACAGTGGAGACAAACAATCAGATATCATGCCTTCATTGAGCAATCCTGAAACAACTGTCTGGTATAAACCTCCCCGGGAGCTGTAATTCTGTAAGGGGAATAGAGGTCTCCTAACATCTCTCAGTACCCTGAATGAATGAGTGTTCTCATGTGTCTTTGGAGAGAAGTCATAATTGTCTAAAGTGCTATCATGCAGCTTTAAATGTATAGTGCAGAATGGGCTTCTGGGAACATCCAATAATGTCATAATACACAGAGGCAGAGCACCACCCCTTGAGTTTCACAAATTCAAGCTATATATAGAGTTAAATAACTATTGGATTCTAACCAGCCATATCTGAACTGATGCATGATTTTGGACATGGTAGCTGCAGACCAATATGGTTCTTGAGTTGAGATGATAAACCCCATAAGAGATACACAGAACTTCCTCTGGAAAATGCATGAAGTTGGACAAGGTAACTTCAGACCAGGAATTCTAGGAGGGACCCTTAAATGGCAAGCAGCATTCTGTGCTCCATCTTTCATCACACATTTCCCAACAAGCAAATTAGTTACCAGTGGTATTTTGGGGTTCCTGGCAGCTGCCACAGAGAGGGATCCTGAAATGATGTACTGTAAGAGAAGGAAAAGGAAGTCAGAAGCTAGGAACAAGATTCCAAGGGATTTTTCTCACATCTTGCTTTCCAGTCCATTAGGTCATAACCAGAAAATGACATTAATGGAGCATTACTTGATGTTTCTCATGCAAAAATACTGAAGCAAAGATACCCTTTCTGCTGGACAGCTCCATAACTATCATGGGATTTGTCCATACAAATTCTGCCCAACAGACTCTCTGGTGGACTCTTTGAGGGAGGAGGTCCAGGGCACAAGGAGCCTCCAAGGCTGGATCTAGCACTGTTGTTGTGCCTTCCCTGCTTCCTAGAATGGTCACCCCATCATGACCACCTCCAAGGCCCCATGTCAGCACTGCATATACACTCTGAAATAGTATCCAAGGGTGTGCAAAGTTGCACAGACAGTTAGCTTCCACAAGCAATATGGAAGGGCAAAGGCCTATGCAGAACAATGAAGCCCCATCCCATAACGACTGGAACACCTCTTCAGCCATTCTCCAGCTTCTGACATTTTCACCAGCTATCCCACATACATGCCATCTTCATGTCTCCTGAGGACGAGAAACCGTCTATTCCCCCCCCCCCAAAAAAGCTGAACTTCTCAATAGTAGTGCCTGGTGGGAAGGGGCAGGACTGCACTCGATTTCCTGGCAAAGGAGTCCCTGCCTCTTACTGGGAGAGTGAGGTCAGGTGGTATGGAGATTGGCACTGTGCAGAGCCAATCCTGTGCTCCTGGCGTTGCACCCACATGCCACTAACATCCCAGAACACACGCCCAATTAAGCAGCACTGACTCTCTGCCCACAGGTCAGGTGTGTGGTTTCCCCCTCCCCAGTGGCTTCTATTTTCCACTTAATTCATGAGGCATAATTCTGAGTTCCCCCCTTTACACAGTAGCAGTTGTGGGATCTTTGAGTGACGCTCAGCCTTGGTCAGTGTTGCCTTCTGGTCTTCCACTGATGGTCTTCGGCTGTTGCAGAGCTGTGGGATCTTCAGCCCTAGAGATTTTGCTGAACTACAACTCCAATCACCCCTGAACTTTAGCCAGGCAGGCAGGAGCTGATTGGAGTTGCAGTCCAATCACCTGGGGACATTCCCAACCTCACCATCTCTCCCTTAGTCTAAGCCGAATCCCAAAGGAACTTTTCTTTCTTTTTTTACACAAAGATGTGTGTTGGATTACCAAGATTCCGCTCCAGATTGGTACTTCAGTTACAATGTAAGCGTGACGATAATAATAAGGCACAGTGTGAAAGGCAGCTCCAAGACCAACTTGCATAATTCCGATGAGTATCTGCGTGATCTGCAAAGACAGCATAAAACCAGGTCTTATTATCACCACACATTCTAGCTGCAGACCAACTGAAAGTTACTTCAAACATGGTGGGGGTGGGCACATGTTGAGGTGAGCAGGGCTGAAGGCCTAAGTGGGTGGAGCCAATGCAATGCTATCCAATAGTAAACCATTGCTATGCTCAGGACCGGATTTAGGTTTGATGAGGCCCGAAGCTACTGAAGGTAATGGGGCCCTTTATATGTCCAGCTGTCCTTTGTCAACAACAAATTGTCACTGGGTTTTTTTGTGTGTGTTGAATATATGCTATATGGTAATTTATGGACCTAATAGGTATCTAAAGCCATTTGCACATAACAAAATATGTATTTTATCAACGTAATTGTTGAACTGAAATACAATCAAGAAGAAGTATATTAATAATGAAATACAATTAAGAAGAAGTATATTAATAGTGAAATAATTATTAAGCTCTAGCTTAAAATGTTTTTTTATTCATAACAAACTTAATAATGCAAACACATTGGCATTTGGAAATAACAAAAGTTCCTTTAGAAACACAGTTTGCAAAGACTCATAATCTAGTCTCTAGAAACTTGCTATAACATGAAATACAGTAATAATAGGTGTAAATATGTGGTGCAAACTGCTAATAATTATAATTATATGGTGCAAACTGCTAATAATATTAGCTTTATTAATATGAAATTAGCTGTTTTAAACTGTACAATGCAATTGTAGTTAATACAATGCATTTTTAATATAATATCAATATCCCCACAGTAGTCCACACTGTTCATTGAGACAGCAGACCTTTGTACCCTGTTACACTTAGTGAGTGTAAAAGACGGTATTTCTTTCTTTCGGTATAATGGGGGGGGAGAGAGTGGGGCCCTAAGCTATAGCTTGTTTACCTTATACGTAAATCGGCACTGGATATGCTCAAGGTCTTGCCTCCGGGAAAGAAGCAAAGGAAGCCAATGTATGCAGAGATGTCGGGCAGGGTTATGGCTGTGCACAGCCATTCAACATGCAAGCTGTGAGTATGTGGAGTGTTGTTTATTTCTCGGCTGCAGGGCTTTTTGTCAAGGGAAACTCATAGGAACTGAGGTGTTCATGGTGAGTTCTGGAAGTTATTTTTCTAGAAAAACAGCACTGCTGGGCTGCATGTCCTCAGAACATGGCAGACGTGCATCTTGCTGCAATTGTTGACGCTTGCTTATTTTTCAGAATATCACCAGAGAGAGAATAAGAGGCAGAGAATATAGTCTGCGGTCTGAACCTCAGATGAAGAAGAAGAGGAGGAGTTTGGAGTTGATATCCTGCCTTTCACTCCCCATTAAGGAGTCTCAAAGCTGCTAACATTCTCCTTACCCTTCCTCCCCAACAACAAACACTCTGTGAGGTGAGTGAGGCTGAGAGACTTCAGAGAAGTGTGACTAGCCCAAGGTCACTCAGCAGCTGCATGTGGAGGAGCAGCAGTGGCATAGCATGGGGGGTGCAGGGGGAGGCCGGCCGCACCGGGCGCAACATCTGGGGGGGCGCGCTCGCACTCGCAGCTCTCTGCCCCTACCTGGCTCACTCACTCTCTCTCACTGCAGTGCTGGCTGTGCGAATCCGATCCGAGCCGCTGGGTCGCCGCCCACTGTGGAGGGGGTAGGTGCCAGGCGTGCGGTGCGGAGAGAGAGCGAGGGACTATCTGGGGGAGGGACAGTGCAGCGGCCGCCCAGCGCAGCGCTGAGCGCGGGAGAGAACCACACCAGACCAGACCAGGCAGCAGCAAGAAGAAGCTGGCAGTGGCGGCAGGTTAGGGGTTAGGGGGCGCAAATTACTTGCCTTGCCCCGGGTTAGGGGGCGCAAATTACTTGCCTTGCCCCGGGTGCTGACAACCCACGCTACGCCGCTGAGGAGCAGGGAAGCGAACCCAGTTCACCAGATTACGAGTCCACCACTCTTAACCACTACACCACGCAAGGAATCATCCCGACTTCTTTAAAAATCTCTTTGGATAGGCATAGGAAAGGCAGGAAGAGTGTGACTAGCCCTCTCCTCATAGCAGTGGTTCTGCCTTCCCTGGGGATCCTGACAAACTTAACTTATTTATGTTATTTAAAATACTTGTATGTGGGAGGGCAGGAGATAGGGACCTGTCTTGCGCAACTCTACGCACATCCACTCAAAAGCCATTCCCACTGAGTTCAGTGAGATTTACTCCTATGATTACAATCTGAATTTTCTTCCTACAGTATAGAACTTTAAAAAAAATGAATAGAATAGATCATGATGCAGTCAACATTTAAGCACTTCAAAAATCAAAAGGTTTCATTCAGAAAGATGAGTATGTATTTCGCTGAAACCAATCAGGCATCAGAATGTAGGGTGCTAAACTCCAGACATTGCTGAACTACAACTCCCACGTTAGCTGGGGCTACACAAGGTGCAGAAGATAAGACAAAATTGACTTCAGAAGCAGGGCTGGGAAGCTGAGAAGAGGGCTTTGCAGTTGCCTAAGGGTAGGCAGGTCTAAAATGTTATGGGGAAGGAAGTGGGAGGGCTCTCAAATAGAGCAGGCAGGAGAACACAGACCCTCTAGGTTTTCCCTATATTCTATACTCACCCCCAGTGCCAATGGCTCACCCCGATAAAACTTCTTCATTGCTTTTGGCATGTAAGCATCCGACTCATCTCTCGAGAAGGATCGGGAGGTCAGTGGTGCGATCGGATGGGAATCCATGATGGCGTTTGGGGAGTGGTTTTGTAAAACAGCAACTGTATCAGGAAGAGGAGATCTAAATGGGGCAAGGGAAAATAGTGTGGGAATGTGTATAGAAATTAGGAAAGGATATATTACCCTTCCTTACACTCGTTTGTGAGTTTAGCAGAGCACACCCCTTTTGCTACAAAATTAGGAAGCTGCTGTTTCAGTTTGTTGCAGCCGTTTTGATGAAGCAATCCAGGATGCCTTGATGTGTAGGCTGGGTTTTCCTGGTGTTTCCCCCTTTTATCCCCCTTAAAACAACAGCAGCATAAAAAAACCAGTTTTCTTTGAATAAAATACAGTTTACTCACAGTTCACATGCAGTAGCAATCTGGACGCAGTCTTAAGCTGCAGTTACAGGTGCATTTGTATATACAAAAGGACCATGGAGTCTGAGGCTGAATCTAGACACATCAAAGAAGCGTTTCAGTTAAAGGCCTGGTAAATTTAAACAGGGAAAACAGGTAGAGAAATAAACGGGAGTACACAGCACCATCTGGTGGCACAATGTTATATCACCTATAAAAAGGTAAAGGGACCCCTGGCCATTAGGTCCAGTCGTGACCGACTCTGGGGTTGCAGCGCTCATCTCACTTTATTGGCCGAGGGAGCTGGCGTACAGCTTCCGGGTCATGTGGCCAGCTTGACTAAGCCACTACTGGAGAACCAGAGCAGTGCACGGAAATGCCGTTTACCTTCCCACCGGAGCGGTACCTATTCATCTACTTGCACTTTGACGTGCTTTCGAACTGCTAGGTTGGCAGGAGCAGGGACCGAGCAACACTCCCCGTCGCAGGGATTCGAACCGCTGACCTTCTGATCAGCAAGTCCTAGGCTCTGTGGTTTAACCCACAGCGCCACCTACATTGTATCGCCTATACAACACATTTAATCACTTTTTCTCTACCAATCTAGCTGAGTCCTGAGACTTTGGACTTCAGACTCAACAACTTGCTACATCTCTGTAGAGTAGAGATGCAGTGGTAGAAGATGCACGACGATGGCAAGTGAGCAAGCTGGAGTAAGTGAGAGATGCGGATGTGATCAGTATCACAGTTTACAGGTAAGTTATGCCCAGAAGTCCTCCCTACTAGATCCACATTTCGCTGGGTGCCCATTCCAGCAAACAGAAAATGTTGAAGCTGACTCCTCTTTCTGGATTTCCCACAAAGAGGGAAGGGAGAGGGGGGAGTTTGAATTATTGCCCCCTTTTGGAAGGAAAGGACATCCCGACTCTGTTGACTACTTGCAGACTGTCCTTATTTTCTGGGTGGGCTTCCAGGACATACTTGCAAATTTCAGTAATGGAATTAAACTGGGTTTGGCAAGCTTGCACAAGAAAACTGATTTCAGATCATAAGAATCTTACATTTCACAGTAAGGAAAGTGACGGAAAATGCACTGGAAAGTCCAGAGTAACAACTGCAAAATTATTTGTGGGGAGCTCATACAAGAGAGTGGGAATGATTGCTAAACAGCAGGCATCTGACTCCTTTGAAAACTTGATGCAATCAAATCAGGATGAAATCTCAAGAAATAGGTCAGCTGGGAATAAACTAATTAGGGAGCTGTCCTAGAGGAAGACGCACAGGGATGTAGGATCCAGAGGATCCCTGGTTGTCCTGCCAACTTCCCAGCACACCTGGGCTATGCTCCCAAAGTAAGAGAAATGGGGGTGCCTTGAAACTGAACGGGAGAATCCAAACGCCACAATATAGCGATAACTTTGTTACTATGTACCAAGCAAAATGTCCCAAAGTTTGTGAGCAAACTTTTGAGTTCCACAGAATTCTTTCTCAGGCTGAATGAGGTTCGGGTGGCAGGAACAATTGGAGCTAATGAACAGGCTTGCAGATTATTAAAAACATAAAAATAAAAACTTTTCAGAGCGTGTCCAAAACAGTACAGCGAGGGCACCAACGGATCGTGTTGCTTTTAACATCTCAAGCAGAGTGGGTTGAAGTAATGCTGCGCACTCGGCTTCAGATCCCGGTTGTGGGAGCGCCCTGCCAGCCGGGGCAGAGTGTCGTGTGCGCGCACAGCCATTGCCTAACCTTCGCGCGCGAGCTTTGTACAAACGCATCAGGATTCGTGCTCCATAAAACGACTCGTTCAGAAGTGACCCTTAACGGTTCGCGCTGAATTTACGACAGGCTGAAAACTTTGTGCCATCAAATCAGGACGATTTCTCAGTCAACAGGTCAGCCGGAAAGGACCTCAAGAGGGAGGCGCACTTGGCACTGCTAGCATAAATCCTGGCTACGCCCATGACAGCTAGCCCGGGACCCCAAAATGCACGTCCTCCTCCTCAGCAACAGGTTCTTCCTTCTGCCTCGGATAAAAAGGAGTGGTAAAGAGCTGGTTCCTCTGGCTGGGACCCAAGCCGCGGAAGAGAAGCGCGTGGGCAAGGAATTCGGTTCCCCTCTAGGCAAAGGCAACCACCCGTCAAGGCTGCCACGCAGAATACAGACCGTGGTGCATGGATCCCTCGCCTCCTCTGGTCCCAAGAGCGCGAAAAGACGTCCCTGCGCCGCTGGGATCTGCGGGATGGTCGAGGAGTCCCGGCCAAACGGGTTGATGGTTAATTAGCGGGGCTGAACTTTGGGGAGAAGATTGGGGAGGGGAGGGGAGGGGAGGGGCGGACGGTAAATGGGGGGAAGTGCGAACTTATCACGGACCTGCTCAGAAAGAGATCTCGCTTGCAATTCTTGCCTCGCAGCTACCGCTCCTTTCCTGACGGTGCAGTCCCAGGGGTGCCTACTCGAAAGAAGTGTCAGCTGATCTCATTAGAGCTTGCAGAAATGGATGCGGACAGATATTGGGTAACAGTTTAGATTTTGCTGAATTCCAGTTTGATGAGAACGCGGGCTTTTAATTGGCTCTGTTTGTTCAAGTCAACGTTTCCTCTCCGGATACTCCGACTCCGCCCCACTCTCTCCCAGTTGCATCACACATCAAGATTCAAAGCACTTTGCATTTGTCCATTTAAGGGTTATAAGGGTCTCCCCTATTTTGCTCGATTTTGCCACCCACCCGCCCCATTTTGCATCGTTTAGTCCGGTTTTGTTAGCTGTGGGGAGGAAAGGGGTCTGCGGAACTCAGAGGTCCTGTCCCCCAACTACAGGAAAGTTAGAGGAGCCACCCTTCTGGTTTCTGAAGATTCCTCCTGTATTGGCTGCACTCCACCCAGTTTCTCTTTCTTTCTTTCTCTCTCTCTCTCTCTCTCTCTGCCAACAAAACAAGAAGCTTCCTTTTCATTTTCAAAAAGAAAGAAGGCAATATTCTTAGGAAGGTATATTTCATGCACAAGACCACATTCAATGCCCTTATGCTATTTGGGAGCACATAGCACCCTCCTGCTTAAATCTAAAAATGTGGTCAGAACGCTGTTGTGTTGTAACCAATGAGAAAAAGTGGTATTAGATTTTATATGGGATGAGGGGATTAAAACTCCAAATATAATTCAGAACAAAGGAAGGAAGGTAGATATAGTATCTATTCCCAACATTAACATTTCTTAGTAATAGCAGCTTATTGCTGTTGTTGTTTAGTCCTTTAGTTGTGTCCGACTCTTCGTGACCCCCTGGACCAGAGCACGCCAGGACCTCCTGTCTTCCACTGCCTCCCGCAGTTTGGTCAAACTCATGTTCGTAGCTTCGAGAACACCGTCCAACCATCTCGTCCTCTGTCATCCCCTTCTCCTTGTGCCCTCCATCTTTCCCAACATCAGGGTCTTTTCCAGGGAGTCTTCTCTTCTCATGAGGTGGCCAAAGTATTGGAGCCTCAGCTTCACGATCTGTCCTGAATGCATGGATAAGTTAAATAGATTTCCTAAGCCAAAGCTGCCGCGTTATTTTAGAATCATGGAGAGAGAAGAAACAGCACGACTGTCATGTCAACATACCTACCGAGGACATGTTTAGAAAATATTTGCTAAGCTCCCGCACAGCCACCTCAGATTGGTTCTTAGGACTTAGCCCACAATGTTATTCAGCCTGCGGTGACAAAAGACGGCAGACTACCAAAGACGTTCTTTGAAATGACTGACAATATGGATCTTGTTGATATTTGGAGAACTAAGAACCCCTTGGGAAGAGAAGGAACTTTCTTCTCTGAAGCTAAAATGACATGGACAAGAATAGACCAAATCTGGATAACTAGGAGATTGGCCCCGAAGATAAAAAAAGTGGAAATTTGCCCTAAAATTTGCTCCGACCACAATGCAGTGAAGATGGAAATGACATTAACACCAATTGGTTCTTTCAGATGGAGGATGAATGACTCCCTGTTTAGGAACAAGGAGATTATTAAAAAGGCTCAGAAAAACTTGAGAGATTATTTTGAGATAAATATGAATACTACGACTGAAAAAAGAGTGATCTGGGATGCAAGTAAAGCAGTGATGAGAGGGTTTTTGATACAACAAAATGCAATCAAGAAAAGAGCTCAAAATGAAAAAAGGGGAAAATTTTTGGAGAAAATAAAGGATGGAGAAAAGAGACTGAGGGCGAAACCGAAATCACAGGAGATCCTAAAAGAGATAAAGTTATATCAAGTACAATATATGAAATTGACAAATCAGGAAATAGAATGGAAGATTAAACAGATGAGACAAAAGACATTTGAATCAGCGAATAAGTGTGGGAAACTGCTGGCATGGCAAATGAAAAAAAGACAAAAACTTAACACTATTACGAATCTAGTGGTGGAGGGAAAGAACATACAGAATCCCGTGGAGATCAGAAAGTGTTTTCAGAAGTACTTTAAACAGCTATATACACAGGAGACTCAGAAAGAAATAGACATCGATCGGTTTTTGAGAACAAATGGACTACAAAAAATCTCTCAAGAGAGTAAATCAATGCTAAACTATAAAATAACTGATCAAGAGGTGGAAGGAGCCATTCAGAACATGAAATTGGGCAAATCCCCAGGGCCGGATGGTTTGACTGCAAAGTATTATAAATCTTTGAAAGAATGGTTAATACAGCCTCTGAAGGAAGTTTGCAATGAAATATTAGGGGGGGGGGAGGCACCCGAGTCGTGGAAAGAAGCTTACATTACACTTATACCGAAAATAGAATAGGAAAAGACACAGCTTAAGAACTACCGTCCCATATCTTTACTCAATGTGGATTACAACATTTTTGCGGAAATTATGGCTAAAAGATTAAAAAAGGTACTGGTGGAAGAAATTCATAAAGACCAAGCGGGCTTTCTCCCGGGGAGACATATATAATTAACATTTTAGAAAAATTACAAGTGAATATAAACACTAAAGCAGTTTTGATATTTGTGGACGCGGAGAAAGCCTTTGATAATATTTCTTGGAGTTTTATGAAGAAAAATCTACAGGGAATGGGGGTAGGCCAAGGTTTTGAAAACGGTATAGGTGCAATTTATTCAGAACAAAAAGCTAAGTTAATTGTGAATAACGTAGTTACAGAAGAGTTTAAGATCGAGAAAGGAACAAGACAGGGTTGCCCAATCTCCCCACTGCTTTTTATATCGGTCCTGGAGGTTTTGCTCAATATGATTAGAAAAGACCAATTGGTTAAAGGTATACAACTCGGAGCTAAACAGTACAAATTGAAAGCTTTTGCTGATGATTTGGTTTTGACATTACAGGAGCCAGAATCCAGTACCAAAAGAGTACTGCAATTAATTCAAGAATTCGGTCAAGTTGCGGGATTTAAGCTGAATAAGTTGAAAACTAAGGTGTTAGAGAAAAATTTAACAGAGATTGAGAAAGAGAGGTTTCAGAAGGAGACAGGATTAATATTGGTTAAGAAAGTGAAGTATTTAGGGGTTCATATGACTGCTAAAAATGTGAATTTATTTAAAGACAACTATGAAAAATGTTGGATGGAAGTGAAAAAGGATTTGGAAATATGGTCAAAATTGAAGTTATCATTGTTGGGCCGAATTGCTGCGATAAAGATGAATGTATTGCCTAGGTTGTTGTTTTTGTTTCAAACACTGCAAATTTTGGACAAGATGGACTGTTTCAAGAAATGGCAGAGAGATATTTCGAGATTTCTCTGGCAGGGCAAGAAGCCTAGAATAAAATTTAAGATTTTAACTGATGCTAAAGAAAGAGGTGGATTTGCCCTGCCAGACCTTAAACTTTATTATGAATCAGCCACATTCTGTTGGCTGAAAGATTGGCTGCTTCTTGAAAACACGGACATTTTGGATTTAGAAGGTTTTAACAATGTTTTTGGATGGCATGCATACTTGTGGTATGATAAGGTCAAAGCACACAAAGCTTTTAAGAGCCATATTGTTAGGAGAGCATTGTTTAATGTCTGGGTGAGATATAAGGATTTGCTGGAAAGTAAAACACCAAGGTGGCTGTCACCAATGGAGGCCAAGGCTCTGAAAAAAATTAATATGGAGACAAATTGGCCAAAATACTGGGAAATTTTAGAACAAGATGGAGATAGATTAAAGCTGCAGAGTTTTGATAACTTAAAAACTAAAGTACGAGACTGGCTTCATTATTATCAAATAAGGGAGGCTTATAATTTAGATAGGAAAATTGGTTTTCAGGTGGAAAAATCAAAATTGGAAACAGAATTGTTAGACCCTAAAATCAAGAATTTATCAAGAATGTATAACCTGCTGTTGAAATGGAATACACAAGATGAAACGGTTAAATCTGTTATGATTAAATGGGCACAAGACTTTGGATATAACATTATGATGGCTGATTGGGAAAAGTTATGGACCACAGGTATTAAGTTTACGGCTTGTAATGCCTTAAGAGAAAATATAATGAAAATGATTTACAGGTGGTACTTAACCCCAGTCAAGCTGGCAAAAATCTATCATTTGCCCGATAACAAATGTTGGAAATGTAAAGAGATTGAGGGCACATTCTTTCACCTTTGGTGGACATGCCCAAGGATTAAGGCCTTCTGGGAGATGATTTACAGTGGTGCCCCGCAAGACGAATGCCTCGCAAGACGGAAAAACCGCTAGACGAAAGGGTTTTCCGTTTTGAAGTTGCTTCGCAGGACGAATTCCCCTATGGGCTTGCTTCGCAAGACGAAAATACCTTGCGAGTCTAGAGATTTTTTTCCGCTTTCCCCCCCCTTTATCTAATCTGCTAAGCCTTTAATAGCCTTTAATAGCCTTTTAGCAGCTAATCCCCTAAGCCTTTAAGCCTTTAATAGCCGCTAAACCGCTAATAGCGCTAATAGCGCTAATCCGTCAATGGGCTTGCTTCGCAAGACGAAAAAACCGCTAGACGAAGACTCTCGCGGAACGGATTAATTTCGTCTTGCGAGGCACCACTGTATAATGAAATGAAAAAGGTATTTAAATATACCTTTCAAAAGAAACCAGAGGCCTTCCTTCTGGGCATGGTCGGCCAATCGGTGTGAAGGGAGGATAGAACCTTCTTTATGTATGCTACAACAGCAGCAAGAATACTCATTGGAAAGTACTGGAAGACACAAGAATTACCTACCCGAGAAGAATGGCAGACGAAAATGATGGACTATATGGAACTGGCTGAGATGACTGGCAGAATCCAAGACCAGGGAGAAGGGTCGGTGGAAGAAGATTGGAAAAAATTTAAAATATATCTTCAAAAATATTGTAATATTAAAGATTGTTAGAAAGATGTTGGAAAAAGAAAATTAGGTGGTTTTGGTAGATATGATATAAAGGATTAAGTAAAAATGAGCTGATGAAATTGATGAAATAGAGGATGTTAAATTATAATATTTTAAATTAAAATACGTAAATGAAAATAAGGTTGGAAGGATTTGCTGAAAAAACGATCTGAACTAGAATACAAAATTGGGAGGTGAGAGGAGGTCAAGGAAATAAGTAAAGGAAAAAAGTCATGTAAAGGTTTAATCTGTTTTTGTCCTATTTTAATTGAATGCATTTTTATATCTTTTGTTTTGTTTGTTTTTATTTTATTTCATTGTTCTTCTTTTTTACTTTTTGCTCTGTTATTGTTAAATTCTTTTTTGTATTTTGTACTTTTTTTTTTTCCTTTGTAATTTTAAACTTGGAATAAATATTATTATTATAAAAAAACAACAATGTTATTCAGCCTGAGGGCTACATTTCATGGTGGGGAATCTTCCAGGGGCCTCCTGCCCACTGTGGGCTTTCCATGTGCACATACACCTCCCTTTCTCCGTCCTCCATCCAGTCAAGCTACCGAAATTATTACAATCAGATATGCTGTGAGCCAGGCAAAGGCACTCAAGGAGGGTGGGCAACACAGCTCCTAACCACTGCTCTCTGGGATGAGGCATGGATGCTGAAACCCCTCTGGGAACTGTAGCTCAGAGCCAAGCATGCATTTGGGGACCAATTTCTGAATCTTGTTTACCATATTGTTATAGATTTAGGGCAAGCCCTAGAAATTAATAAATGCTAGGTGTTTTGCCAGTTAACACTGCAGGTTCTTCAAAAGGATCTTTGGCAGAAAATATATGAGGGGAAAGGTATTTTTATCTGAACAACAACAACAAAACCCAAACAGTAAACCTTCTTAAACAGCAATAAAAAAAAAAACCCTCTTATGCTGAGAAATAACCCCAAAGGAACAATTCCAAAGACACAATTCCCCCACTAGAACTTCACCCACAGACAGCACCAGATCCAGCCATAGGGAGCCTCGGCAGCATTTGGGCCATCATCCTTATCCTCTGTGACTACTTTGTACCTGCCCCAATCAGATGGAGCTGGATGTCTCCCTAGCCACCACCTGTGCAGATTAGGGCTCCTAATCTGGACAGTCGAGACCCAGCTGGGCCTCCCTCAAGGGCAGGGGTGCTCCAGCGAGGACTCACAGGAAGGGTTGACTGTGCAAGGCCAAATCTTCCATTTTTCCTGTGTGTTTTCCACTACACTGTGATTTCAGTTATTTGTGATATGAAAGGAGAATGCAAGCTGCAAAGGAATTCCTGTGGCTGAGCTACGAATGATAGGGAGCAATTGAGGGACATTAACAATACAAGGAAATTCCTTCCCCTCTTGCTCCAGGTGTGAACAGAGATTGGGGATTTGGGAGGTGGCCTGGGTAACTGCTCTAGGGGAGGGGAGGGGGTTGGGGGAAGAAGAAGGGGTAGGGAGGGCAGAGTTCGATCACAGGAGAGGCAGACTGCAGTCAGCTTACACTGCTGCCTCTTGGAATGACTGTGCCATAAGATCTGGACTGGCTCCATGCACACTGAAGGTGTAAATAGGTGAATGAAGCAAATTTCTTAAAGCCACAATGGTCTCTGCTGCATCTTCCATTCTCCAAAGGGACATAGACCCTGTGTGGGTGCCTGGGCCCCATGGGCTTTTGCCACCGCTAGGCAGAGAGAGGGGCACCCAACTTCGGGAATAATATATTTGCATGGTGGTAGCAGGTCGCAAAGTGCTACTATACTCCATTAAATAAATAGTGTAGATGGGATCACACACCAAAAGAGGCACTAACAAAGCTCCAAGGCAGAGGTTGGCAACCTAAAGCCTATGGGCCGGAAGCAGCCCATGAGGGTCGCTTAACTGGCCCATGAGCCAACCCCGAACCGAGCCGCCCGCTAAACTGGTGCAGCTTGGTGTGAGGACTCTGGAAATCGCTTCTGCGCATGCCCAGACACCGGAAATCATGTCTGCACATGTCCATGGCACCAGAAATCGCTTCTGCCTATGCCCAGATGCCAAAAATCGCTTCTGTGCAGGCACAGTTTTCAGTGTCTGGGCATGTGCAGAAGCGATTTCCGGTGCCACGGACATGCACAGACGCGATTTCTGGTGTCGCGCTGCACCAGTCCGGCCCACAGAGGATCTCCATGAGAGTGATCTGGTCCATGCCCGGTAAGCCTTGCCGACCCCTGCTGTCACATTCCAGCCAGACAAAAACACTCTACAAGGCCGGGCTGAAGCTGGGGGTAATGTAGGAAGGGGGGAGGGGAGCAGTATGCTGGGGAAAGTCCTGAGGGCCAGATTCAAAGCCCTAGTGGGCCACTTCAGCCTACAGACCAGAGCTTCCACACCTCTGTTCTAGCATGTCAGAAACCCTGTGTTAGATGCTGGGAATACACAAAGCTATCTGAAAACAAAAGACCAGAAACAGTGAACAAAGCATAATACGGTTGTATAATATTTCCTTTTCCCATTCATATCTTGCTGCAAGATATCTAGTGCAATTTCAATGGTCAGTTCAAAGTTATAAAGCTGCCCTTCTATCAAAAAAGAAATGTCCACGCCGCATTATCAAAATAGTTCCATTGTATTCCTCTGGTTACGAAGACAATCTTGGTCCAGCCAGTAAAGCTGCTTGGCGCATAAGTACACATTCATCCTTTTTTGCTCTTGACTTTGCAGAAGGAGATGGCCGTCAAGGAGGGTGGAAGAGGAAGCAAATCAGGGGGAATCGGGATCCTTGCAAGCAGCTGGAAGACCAAGAGCATCGCCTGGGGTCGCATTCTGGTAAACCACCACAACCTGCAGAAAAGAACACTCCAAGAGTAAAATCAGCTTTGCTGTGCATTTACTGTGATGCTCAGCTTCTGAATAACAACAACGAAGTTTGGCTCTTGATAAATAAGGGAAGGGCTGTGGGGGGTTGGACTTGGGACCTCCTAGATGCAAAGCAGATGCTGTATCACTGAGCCACAGCCCTTCCACCCGCAATTAGCACCTAGGGAGGCTGTCAGGATGAGTCTGCTAGCTCCATCACTGTTTCAGCTGCCTTCAAGGTAACCATCTGCAGCAGGAAGCCTTTTGCATCCATGGAGGTTCCCCGAGTATTTCAGGATCTTGATGGTGCTGCTAGGTGGTTTTCTAGTCCATAGTGCTGACAGCAAACCAATTCTTTCTAGCTAGATACATCTGTTTCGCACTGCAATGGGAGCTTAGGAGCTGTTATGTACTAACCTTGTATCCTAGAACAATAGGCAAGTAGGATCCTAGAATGCAACAACTGATTGGCTTGCAGGAGAAGACCAATCAGGCTCCAGGAAGAAGTTAATCAGCCTATTAGGCTGGTAGGATTGTAGAATGCAACAACTGATTAGCCTACAGGAAAAGACCAATCAGGCTCCAGAAGGGAAGCAGAATCAGCCAATCAGACGGGACACGTTGTGTAAATAATGTATATAAAAGCCTGAGGTTTGGGGGGCAATTCAATCACTGTTTTACAAGCTGCAATAAAGAGCATGAAATCACTACAGGACTCTGAGTATATTTCAGGAACAATGAGCTAAGAGTTTTAGAGGCAGACTTCCAGCCCCAACATGGAATATCGTTATTCTACAATACCCCTTATTTTAGGACCCTGTCCCTGAATCTCTGCCTGCTCTGGTTACCAAACCCCACTCTCTTTTCAATGTTACCGTTTCGGTGTAGTTGTCCTGGCAAACAGTCTTACACCCGAACGCAGCCGTGGAGATAGCGATGCAAAACTCAAGGATGTTGAATACTAGGAAGACAGCCAGGATTCCATACAACATGTTCTGTCGATGAAGCAGAGAGCCCAGCAAAGGGAATTACCCTCCAGCAAGGTGTATGCTTGTCTATAGATGTATTTCAAAGAGTCTCAGACTAGGACCTGGCAGTCCAGGGTTCAAATCCCCACTTGCCAGGTGCCTTTGGGCAGGTTATCTCTTTCAGCCCAGCCCTTCAACCCCACAAGGTTGTTTAGAGCATGTAGACCACCTTGAGTTCCTTGGAGACCTGAAGGAGCGTCTCCACCTCCATCGTTCTGCCCAAACACTGAGGCCCAGCGCCGAGGGCCTTCTGGTGGTTCCCTCCCTGTGAGAAGCCAAGTTACAGGGAACCAGGCAGAAGGCCTTCTCGGTAGTGGCACCCACCCTGTGGAATGCCCTCCCACCAGATGTCAAAGAGAAAAATAACTGCCAAACTTTTAGAAGACATCTGAAGGCAGCCCTGTTTAGGGAAGTTTTTAATGTTTAATAGGTTGTTGTATTTTAGTGTTTTGTTGGAAGCCGCCCAGAGTGGCTGGGGAAACCCAGCCAGATGGGTGGGGTATAAATAATAAATTATTCTTCTTCTTCTTCTTCTTCTTCTTATTATTATTATTATTATTATTATTATTTATTTTATTAGTGATCAGGTGGGATACAAGAACAAAAATAATAATGCACACAGATACCCAGTGCCCCCGGACACCGGGGAGCAGCAGACTAACTTGGCTGCCTAACTTGGCTGCCTACCTCAAGAACCCACAAGGCTTGCAATTGCTTAAGTGTCGCTGGGACAATGCAAAATGCACCAAACATACGTAATTCCAAGATCAAAGTAATCACTATTCCCCGTCTGTTGTTCTGGTTATTTCAAAGCCAGTGCTGTAGCTATAGGGTGGTGAGCCAGGTTTTTTGAAGCCACCAGAGGCTCCCAGCCTGTGTGTGTAAACAAATGCATGTGGGGTCTGTGTGTGCCAAACTGGGTCTTTGACCCGGGTGAAAGAAAGCCTAGTTTCACCTCTGCTAATGATTACGAGAGATTATATTAGTGACACAAATTACTTCCTCTCTTCACGGACAGGACCCTCCAGGAGCTAAGGCACCCTGTTTCACCCTGTTCTGTGTCCCTCCTCCTCCCTTTGCAGGGAGATTGGACAATGTTGACCATTTATTCAGCATTCACTCAAACTTTGCCTCAAGCAAGTGTTTCCCCACACTTCCCAGTACGTTTATCCATTGCTTTCCTTCTTGCAAAGTATCATCTTTGGAGGAAGTGGGTTTGTGGCCTGTGAACTCTAAATCCACTTTAATGGTACAACCTCAATTGGCCGGGGTGCTCCTGGAATATCGCCCCAAAATAACAACGGTTTGCTAGCACCCTCAGTATTGGTGAGACCTGCACTTACCCAAGGGATTATGCGAGTTTTAATGCACTCTGACAGTGTAGTATTGCCTGAATACTGATAACGGCAAAAGGATTCTGCTTCCCATTCTGGTGCGTAAAATTCCAAATGGAAACAGAGCAACACAATTCCAATGCCGGCTGCCACAGAACTCACCACATTCATTCCAAGCATGCCTTTCACCTAAAAATGGTGACATATAACATTATTTCATTAAGCGAAGAGTCCCTCAGACCATGTGGTGGGCCGGACTATATTTTTTTTGGGGGGGGGAGACAACGAATTCCTATGCCCCACAATAACCCAGAGATGCATTTTAAATAAAAGCACACATTCTACTCATGTAACAACACACTGATTCCCGGACCATCCGTGGACCGGATTTAAAACGCGATTGGGCCACATCGGGCCCCTGGGCCTTAGGTTGCCTACTCCTGCATTAAGCAATTCTAGCTCTGTTGACCTCTACAATGGTGACAATAGCCCTGAGAGGCTCCAATACTTTGGCCACCTCATGAGAAGAGAAGACTCCCTGGAAAAGACCCTGATGTTGGGAAAGATTGAGGGTATAAGGAGAAGGGGACGACAGAGGGAGAGATGGTTGGACAGTGTTCTCGAAGCTACCAGCATGAGTTTGACCAAACTGCGGGAGGCAGTGGAAGACAGGAATGCCAGGCGTGCTCTGGTCCATGGGGTCACGAAGAGTCGGACATGACTAAACGATTAAACAACAATCTGCCTGGTATTATATCTCCTCTTATCCAGACTAAACACACCCAACTCCCTCAAAAGACTTGGTTTCCAGACCCTTGATCATCTTGGTTGCCCTCCTCTGCACATGTTCCAGCTTGTCATTATCCTTCTTAAATTGTGGCACCCAGAACAGGAGACAGATGGGGCTTCTGGGGACATCCTATGGTGTTGCAATACACTGATGCAGAGCCCCACCCCTTGAGTTTCACATGAGGTGGGGAGGGCAGGTTCCATTGTGGGACAATAGCACCCATTTAAGCTTTCGACTTGTATGGGTAAATATCCTTTGCTTTGGAAATATCCCACAATATTTTTTAAAAAAATGTTAAAAACTATCAGATTCTAACCAGCTGCAGCTGACCAGCTATGAGCTGTCTGAGATTGGGGCAGGATTTCCTTTTTTAAGTGTGTAGTTGAACCCAAAATATGGAGTAGAGGGAAATCATTGTTTGCGACTGAAAAGCTGACAATATCTTCATCTTTATGCACATTCTCCTAATAAATGCATTTTCGTAAACACTGGGTGGTTGGAGAAGCGCATTGCAAAATTCAACTAAATACAGATTTAAAAGGATATCTGTAGCTTTCAAATGCATATCATTTCAGAAAGTGCCGATTTTATACATTCAGCTTTTGGTGCATACTGAATCAAATTTCCCCTCCATTTCTAATGTTGTGTCAATCCAATCTGACGCTTGGCCTGAGCCAAGTTCCTAAACCTCACAAAGTAATCCACAGAACTTCCTCGGGGAAAACACATGAGGTTGGGCATGATAGCTTCAGACCAGGAATTCCAGGAGGGAGCCTTAAATGGCAAGCAGAAGACGTCACCAATTGTGTGCTTCACCTCCCGTCATGTCACACAGATGTGTGTGCCCGAAAACAAATTAGTTACCATTGGCACTTTGGGGTTCCTGGCAGCTGCCACAGACAGAGATCCCGAAATGATGTACTGTAAGACATGGGAGAGGAAGACAGAAACAATGAACAAGATTACAAGGCATTTTCTCATACGTAGAAGGTAAGTTGAATGCAAACCACAGTTTCCCAGTCTTAGTGTAACACACTAATCACTGTGGCAGGGAGGCTCTTGTAGTTTGCAGTTCCCCATTGTGGGCCTTTTCCAGTCTCTCTCTGCCTCTAACTCAGCACACTTGATGCCGGCAGGCATCAATAGTTGGTATCAAGGGTTGGCAAGTTCAGGCATCTTCCAAGAGCTCTTATCTTAGCAGGGGTCATGTCGGAACAAGGCCCCTGGACCTCCTCCTCCTCGCCAGTGCTGCATCCAGCTACCTGTCACATTGGACCAAACAACAGGGAGTGGGAGAGGGTGGAGCACCAGGTGCCACTGCCTACTTCTTCATTGGGTCCCTGCCTAGAAAGCAAGATGTAAGTAACCAAACAAACCCCTGTGTTGCAAAGAGAATGTCAGCAATGTCTAGGAAACGGAAGACCATGTACATACACAATAGTCAATCTTTTATAGAATTCTTTCAAACCATAACAAGTCCAAAATGAAATCTTTAATCTCAAAGTCTCTGAAAATATTTAAATGAAGCGAAGAACAGTGATTCCGGATATTGACTACTGTTTCGTAGAATTCTTCGTCAGCATGGTGGGAAGATAGAGAATTGCTTCATAAACCCAACTTATTTCGAATGAATATGTAAATGAAAATATCAAATGCTGTGGAACAGTGCTCATGTAATAATGTAGTCACTGATATTTTCATCTCTGCCTTACTCTCGGGTGAATCCTGAAGGAACTGTTTTGTTTTTTTAGGTTGCTGGGGGGGGGGGTTTAACACAGAGAGATATTATATGTAGAATTACCAAGATTCCAGCCCAGAGTGGTTGTTCTATAGCAATGTAAGATCCTCTGTGATTGCCCATTAGGTTAAACACAACTCCAAATGCAATGTGCGTGATTCCGAGGAGGATCTGTGTGATCTGCAAAGAAAACATAAAACCAGGTTTTCGCATCACCACACTTTCTACCCACAGAGCAAATAAAGATCACTTCAGATCTTGATGTTTTTTCTGGCATGAATGCCTTCTCCAAGGGGAATCTTCTTCTTCTTCTTTGTGAATGTTACCTGCTTGTCTGCCCATAGGATAACTAACCTACAGGGTGCCTATAAACATCAATGGACTCCAGCAATATCCTTATAATCATCACATATCTACAACTGAGAGCTTCCAAGGGCCAAACCAGAGGCAGCCTGCAGAGGATGCTGCAACAATAACAAGCCATGGAAGATGAGAGGCAGCAGGGAGCTGAATTTTAGCATTGCACAGGGCGACACTGAAATTTTAAAGGCCAAAGTTTGCTACTGGATAAACTTAACATAACATGTAAGGTAGTCTTGAGTCTTTGGAACAAAACAGAAATGCTCAAAGGAGCCACCTACAGTTCATGGCCAGGGAAAGCAGGACCAAAGTCTGCAATCCTCAATGCACTTACTTGGGAGGAAGTCCCTCTGAACTCAGTCTGAGGAGACAGGCAGTAGATTTTTTGGACTTCCTGGTGGTTGCAGTTCAAACATCAGACAGGGGAAGGCAAATAAACAGGCTCACGGGGACAGCTCTGGGGTGTGGTGCTTGGTAGGTGGTTGGTAGGGCAGAAGGTGGAAAGGCCACAGCAGGTGAAGGCAGGATCACAGAATCGTAGAGTTGGAAGGGAGCCTGAAAGTCATCCATTCCAAACTTGCACAGAGCCAATGGCAGGCAGAGCCAACTCATTCCAGACTGGGTTTTTAGGGGGTATCCTAAACCCTTAAAATGACACAAGTTGCTTACTAAGACACACAGGTTGCTAGTCCACTGTCCATCAGACCTTGTGGGGGGCCGGACTATATTTTTTTGGGGGGGGGGAATGAATGAATTCCTATGCCCCACAAATAACCCAGAGATGCATTTTAAATAAAAGCACACATTCTGCTCATGTAAAAGCACCAGACAGGTCCCACAAATAACCCACAGAAAAAGGACACATTCTACTCATGTAAAAACACCAGACAAACCCCACAAATAACCCAGAGATGCATTTTAAATAAAAGGACACATTCTGCTCATGTAAAACCACCAGACAGGCCCCACAAATAACCCAGAGATGCATTTTAAATAAAAGGACACATTCTACTCATGTAAAAACATGCTGATTCCCGGACCGTCGCGGACCAGATTTAGAAGGTGATTGGGCTGGATCCAGCCCCCGGGCCTTAGTTTGCCTTCCCATGATCTAGGCAGCCACTGGTTCCAGGCTTCAAATTACCCCCTGTACTGATGTTAGCCTTGAAGATGGGGGGAGTGGTGGAGATGCAAATTTCCAATCATGCAGGGTCACCCTTGGCAGCAGCTGCCCCAAAGCCAAAAAGGGAGAGAGGGAAGCATTTGGTGGCTGTGTGAAGCAAAAGACAGGGAGATGAGGAGGGAATTTCTGCTCAGAAACGGGAGCAGAGGGACTGGTCTAATAGCCAGGGTGGCCGGGCTGAGCGCTCTCACAAGCCTTGCCAAGTTAGGCACAGGAGTGTCCCAGACATTGTCTGAATTGCTGGGGCAGTTACTGAGGTCACAGGTCCACTAAAACCCACCAGTGTTTGACCTAAGTTTGACCCCTGCCTGTCCTTCAGTATTTTTAAGCTTCATTAAGTCCTTTCTGGACAGTCGTCAGCTGTAGCTGTGGTCATAGCATGGCCTTTTAACGAAATGTACCAGGGTCAGGGCAGAAATATTATTATTATTATTATTATTATTATTATTATTATTATTATTAAAAGCAACATATACAGCAACTGCAGCGGAGCACATTTCCAGCCCATTTCTCATACTCAGGTTCTCGATTGACTCGTCACATGGAAGGATTATTCATTCCGGCATAAAGAAGCACCATACATTTGAAGCCAAGTTGAAGAGTGCAGGGAATTATAGTTCTGTGACAGTGTTCAAAGCTCCCATTGTTCTAGGCGCATTCCGTAACATGGAATTTCATTAGCATGAGCAGTTTCTGAGCTCTGGGCACAGTACAGTACTGTGCCTAAGATATCGGATTAAAACTGCAGAGTGGAAGGAAAGGGGGAGCTTTTTCTGCCTCCCCACTTCCAGCTACTCTCTGAAAACTGGGGAAGAGACCCTCTTAAGAATATAGAGTGGCTGGGCTGGGCTTCCCCAGATGGGCAGGGTATAAATAATAAATTATTATTATTATTATTATTATTATTGTTGTTGTTGTTGTTGTTGTTATTATTATCAGGGGGGTGAGAAGAAAAGGAAGGACTAGACCATGTGAAAAATGAGCACAAAATTTTAGCTGCAGTTCATCTTCGGCTTTAAATTCTTGTTATAAAAAAGTGCATCTAGGCATTTCATTGTTGCGCCCATAACCTAGGTTTAAGGTGCCATTTAGCTCCTAGCTTTCATATCTCAGTTTCTAATGCTGTTCTGTGAGAGGTAAACTACATTTCTCAGGATATTTTTTGGGGGGGGAGTTGCAGTCCAATCCCCATTTACCTGTGAGCATGTCACGTAGAACTCAGCAGACGTTAATTTTTGTTAATAATCTTTGTTAATAACCGCATAAGAAGTAGCAATAATATAGCTGAAGCTTAAGGTTTATAACTATGTAAGAAAAGACAAGTATGTGTGTGTGTGTGTGTGTGTGTGTGCATGTTCAATTATATACATGTATATAATTGAAATATCAATTTACTCTACGAGATGTACTCTATATATGTACAGTCATACCTCGGGTTACAGATACTTCAGGTTGCGTTTTATCGGGTTGCGGACCGCCGAAACCTGGAAGTACTGGAACAGGTTACTTCCGGGTTTTGGTGGTTGCACATGCGCAAAAGCGCTAAATCTCACTTTGTGCATGTACAGAAGCACCGAATTGCAACCCACGTGTGTGCAGACACGCAGGCGTGGGTAACAAATGCTGTGGGTTGCGAATGTGCATCCCGCACGGATCACATTTGCAACCTGAGCGTCCACTGTAATGTATTGTAAGACTATTGATAAAGCTTGTTACATTGCAAAAAAAAACAACCCAAAACCTCAGCATACATTTGTGTAGACAGCAACTCATACAACAACAGCGGGATTTCTGATATGGCATGCGGAAGGAAGTGCCAAAGGAGGCAGGCAGTCATGAGCTAGCCACTATATATTCAAATATGATCCCCTCTCCACTATTCTGTACTCACCCCCAGTGCCAATGGCTCACCCCGATAAAACTTCTTCACTGATTTTGGCACAGAAGCATCAGACTCCTCCCTCGAGGAGGGCCATGGTGGCGCAGTCAGAGTTGAATCCATGGTGGTGTTTGGGGAGTGGGCTTCTGTAGACTTTCAAAACAGCAACTGTGTCGGGAAGAGGAGATCAAAAGGGAGAAAGACAAAATAAGAGAGGGAGAGCGGGGAGTGAATTATTGCCCCCTTTTGGAATAATAATAATAACCTGCAGGGTGGCTTTCTTTCTCCCTATAATGGAGAGCTGTGATAATGAAAGCATCAACTGAACTCGGCACTCTCTTCCCAAGCAAACTGGGGAGTCCAAACTGCCCATCATCCTTCTGCTCTTAATGCTCAAAAGCAGGATATTCATTCTGCTTGGGGTGAGGGCAGGGGATGCTGAATGATAAAGGCTTTACGATATTGCAGATTTGGAACTCTCCCATTCTGTTTCCAGGCACCTGCATTGCTCTGACTTGGATGCAATCCTACACACCAGAAGCTGGAGTAAAGGAAGCTGGTGTTTAAGTTCTCTGGGATCCAAAATGAAGAAGCAAACAGGGCAGGCAGGGACTCCTCTTTGCAAAACCACCCACCTGCCTCCCCTGCAGCCAAGGCACTGTTTTGCCAACCCTGACAATGCTGACACACACACACACACACACCCCTCAAGCTGATCCCATACCTCTTTCTGGATTGCACCCAGGGGCACCAATTGTGTCATAGGACACCAGGAATGCTGTGATCAGTGTAAAAGGAGTCCTGGCCAAGTGGGCTGCTGGTTAGCTAGTAGGACTGAACCTGAAGAAGAAGAAGGGGGGAAAGGGAAGTGAAAGGGAGCCCAGAGTAACATTTCCCCTAGCACGAGACAAAAGAGCTATACAGCAGCTCACATCCAGAAGCTTGCAATTCTTGGAAATGAAAAGCTCCATCAAGGGCAGCAATTCTTAGAAATGAAAAGGGCCATCGAGGTCAACCAGTTTTGGCTCCTTATCTTCTGCCTGCCAGTCCCACAGCTTGACTGAAGCTGATGGCACAGTCCTATGGGTGCCTACTCAAAAGTAAGTGGCAAGTGAGCCCCTCAGAGCTTACAGACCAGATCCGGACAGATGTTGAGCAATAGTGCAGATTTGGCTCAGTTCAGGTTTCATAGAATATAATCATGGAATCTTAGACCTGGAAGGTCTAGTCCAACCTTCTGCAATGAAGGAATCTCAGCTAAAGCATCCAGGGCTATCCAACCTCTGCTTAAAAACCTCCAAGGAAGGAGAGTCTGCCACCTCTTGTAGGAGTCTGTTCCACTGTCGAACAGCTCTTAATGTCAAAAAGTGCAAGGGGGGTGGTAGCTGGGTACACTTGCCCTGGGCTTTGGAGGGCCAAGCCAGCTGGGAGGGCCTTGCTAGGGACTAGCTGCTTTTTGTTTGAGTTTATAACTTTATTCTAGCAAGATCCCCACCTCAGGCCTCACACAAGCTCTACACAGGCCTAGCACTGGATTGAAAATGGCTCTTGTTTATTGAAGCAAACATATCCTCATGGGACATGAGCAGACACTGGCTTTTTCTCCTGTTTAACTATCCCGGCTGCATCACATTAAGATGCAACACTCTTTTCACTGCTCCAGTTCATTGAAACCTTAACTTCTCTAAGGGTCTCCCTTATTTTGCACTATTTGCCACCCACCTACAGCATTTTGCATTATTCATTCTGGTTTTTGTCAGTTGTGGGAAGGAGAAAGGGTCTTCGGGACTCTGAGGTCCTGTTCCACAGCTGCAGGAAATGTGAGAGAACCCACCCTTCTGGTTTCAGCTGTTATTGGCAGCACATCACCCAGTCTCTCTCCCTCTCTCTCTCTCAATGTGTGTGTGTGTGTGTGTGTGTGTGTGTCTCAGCCAACAGAACTAGAAGCTTCTTCCTCTTTACCCAGAAAAAAAACAATGTGTAAAATTATTGCGAAGGTTAATTTGTGCACAACACTATATTCGGGACTCTTGTGTAATTTGGGCTTACATAAGCATCGTGCTTCAATCCCAAAATGTGGCCAGCTGTGTGTCATGTTGCAACCAACTTTCCATTAGAAATGCAGAACTGAAACCAGGGACATGGGGTCGGGGGAGAGAAGCAAGTTTGGGAGGCAAAGCAAAATCGGTCCGATTGTGGCAGAGCCATCTGCTTTGCATAGAATCATAGATCTGTAGAGTTGGAAGGGACCCAGGATCATCTAGTCCAACCCCCTGCAATATATGCAGAATGTCCCGGGTTCAATCCTTGACCACTCCATGTAAGGCTGAGAGATCCCGATTTCCCTTCTCCCGTCTGAATCCTCCCACCAGCCGGAGGAAAACACGAGGACAGCATCTCTCCTCCTGCCCGTTTCTACACTTAGCCTTGCCAGGGGGAAATCTCTGGCCTCCCAGTTACCAGGACGACCAACACAGTTGCCAACTTTTTGTTCTGGCCCCTGTGACTTTGTCCTTAACCATAGTTCTGTTGGTTTTCGTTTCGTCGGCTTCTCTCCACCCCCTCTTCATTTTTACCCCATCGCTGTGATAAATCATTAGACTAGAGGTAGGACTGGGAGTGGAGACATTCAGGTCATGTATCCACAGCAGAGGAACAACGGCTGGGAGGAGTGCAGAAGGCCATGGTGCACCTGTAGCAGCAGAATTGGACACCTTCATCTGCGCCTGAAAGTCAGTGGGGGCCACGGCGCACGGGGCCGCTCGCCGCCCTGGGGCCGGGCGTGCAGCCCATGCCGAGGGGAGCGCTCCGCCGCCGTCCCTCGTCGGCCGCGGAGGCAGCCAGCCCTCCTCACAGCCGCCGCCGCGCCGCCGCGCCAGCGCGGGCTGCACGGCCTCCTCCGGCAGGTTGGGCGCGGCGCCTCAGATCCTGACCGCAAGTTCCTTGGGTGCTCCCTGGGTCTCTCTGCGCTTACCAAGGTAACACCAGCACTCCTGATAGTGCACAGATGCTGATCACCACCCTTAGTCGCAGACAGCTGTCTGATATCTCCTCCCAACAGATGATTGATCTGCCCGATTGAAAATAGATGTAAGTTGGAAGGCGAGGTCATTCAATACAGGAAATCAATTGTTATGGGGATGAACTAGAACCTGATGTATCAACATGTCAAGGCCAGGTGATATTTCTATGCAAATAGTAAATATACCTATAAGCGATGTACAGAAAACGGAAGCAGCAACAGACAAGATATTACAAAAATGCAGTTATGTATAAAGGTAAAGGTAAAGGGACCCCTGACCATTAGGTCCAGTCGTGGCTGACTCTGGGGTTGCGGTGCTCATCTCGCTTTATTGGCCGAGGGAGCCAGCGTACAGCTTCCGGGTCATGTGGCCAGCATGACTTAGCCGCTTCTGGCGAACCAGAGCAGCGCACGGAAACGCCGTTTACCTTCCCGCCGGAGCGGTACCTATTTATCTACTTGCATTTTGACGTGCTTTCAAACTGCTAGGTTGGCAGAAGCAGGGACCGAGCAACGGGAGCTCACCCCATCACGGGGATTTGAACCGCCGACCTTCTGATCGGCAAGTTACTAACATATATTCATTTTCCTTCTGACACACATCCTCTCTCTTGGCTTCTGGGTTCTCACTCAGGCTCCAAACAGACTCTCAGCTCACCCACGAGTCTCACAATGAGAATTGCTACTGGAAACAGTGGACATCACCTTTTGCTCTCACCCTAGACTTGCATTTTTATGAGCAGTCCGAAGGTGAATGCTACTTCCTCAGCTGGCCCACAGCTGTGCCCCATTCAGCTGCACCCTCAACACCCAATTCTAGGTGTGGCAGGTTTGTTCAGTTTTCCAGGGAGTTTTCCAGGGAATCTATTCTATGATTCTATTCTATGATTCTATGATCCCTGTCGGAAACCCTTGAGAACCACTGGCAGTCTCTTCTGGTCTCTACTCATCTAACTCAGTATAAGGCAGTTAACAGAACATAAGAAGAGGCTGTTGCATCAGGGCAATGGCCTGTCCAGTCCAGCATCCTGCTCTTGCAGTGGCCAACCAGGTGGGAGCAGGATTGAAGCACAAGAGCACTTCGCCCTCCTGTGGTTTCCAGCCACTGGTATTCAGAAGCTTTGCCACTACAGTGGTACCTCAGGTTACAGACGCTTCAGGTTACAAACTCTGCTACCCAGGGAGTGGTTGCTCCAGGTTAAGAACTTTGCCCCAGGATAAGAACAGAAATCGTACGCCAGCAGTGCAGTGGCAGCAGGAGGCCCCATTAGCAAAAGCACGCTTTAGGTTAAGAACCATTTCAGGTTAAGAACGGACCTCTGGAATGAATTAAGTTCTTAACCCGAGGGTACCACTGTATAGCCATTGTGGTTAGTAGCAATTGATAGAGCTCTCCCTCCACAAATTTGGCCCCTGAAATAATGTTACTTGCCCAAAAGTGGAAAGAAGCAGGTGTCCCAGTAAAGGAAGAATGGTTACAAAAACTTAGGGAATATGCAGAAATGACAAAAACATACTGGAAGAATAAGAAATCAAGATAACAAATTGTTTATAAAAGAATGGAAATGGCTTATTGAATATTTACAGATAAACTGTAAACAGATAAAAACATTAGCAGGGTTATTGTAATATCCTGCAGTTTTATAAGAGTATTTATTTACAGTAGATAATTAAATGAGCGCATTAAATGAATTTGGATATGCAGAAGACATTAAAAAATAAATTTAAGGAACTGCAGAAAGAGGGGGAGGGAAGTCAAATTTTGAAATGTTAAATTGATTGTAAAATTAATGAAATGCATAAACTTGAAAAGCATAAATACTTTTTTAAAAAAGTATTCAGTCATCCCACTGGTCCTTATAGCTGAGGGGATGGGGCAACTGCTCCTGTCTGCCCCCCCCCCCAGGTGCTGCTGGACTAGAACCTCCATCCCACCTGACCAATGAGCATGTTGCCTGGGACTGGGGAGAGCTGGAGTCCAGCAACAGGTGAGCCTGACAAATGGGGCTAATAAGAGCTGCCTTGGTGCTCACTGCAAATTACTTGCCAGGTAGAGTCTGCAGGCAGCTGGAGGAGGAGGAGAGGACACTGGAGGAAAAAAGAGCTGTGAGTGGAAGGGGGCCCTCTTCCCATCCTTCTTACTCCCTGGAAAACTGAACAAACCTGCTGCACCTAGAACTGGGTGTTGAGGGTGCAGCTGAATGGGGCACAGCTGTGGGCCAGCTGAGGAAGTAGCATTCACCTTCGGACTGCCCATAAAAATGCAAGTCTAGGGTGAGAGCGAAAGGTGATGTCCACTGTTTCCAGTAGCAATTCTCATTGTGAGACTCGTGGGTGAGCTGAGAGTTTGTTTGGAGCCTGAGTGAGAACCCAGAAGCCAAGAGAGAGGATGTGTGTCAGAAGGAAAATGAATATATGTTAGTAACTTGCCGATCAGAAGGTCGGCGGTTCAAATCCCCGTGATGGGGTGAGCTCCCGTTGCTCGGTCCCTGCTCCTGCCAACCTAGCAGTTTGAAAGCACGTCAAAATGCAAGTACGTAGATAAATAGGTACCGCTCCGGCGGGAAGGTAAACGGCGTTTCCGTGCGCTGCTCTGGTTCGCCAGAAGCGGCTAAGTCATGCTGGCCACATGACCCGGAAGCTGTACGCTGGCTCCCTCGGCCAATAAAGCGAGATGAGCGCCGCAACCCCAGAGTCAGCCACGACTGGACCTAATGGTCAGGGGTCCCTTTACCTTTACCTTTATACATAACTGCATTTTTGTAATATCTTGTCTGTTGCTGCTTCCGTTTTCTGTACATCGCTTATAGGTATATTTTTTACTAATTAAGTTGCATAGAAATGGATTGTTTGATGGCCTTCAGCCTTGAGAGCTCAGTTAGTAGAGCATGGTGCTGATGACATCAAGGTTCTAGGTTCAATCCCCATATGGGACAAATTGCATATTCCTGTATTTCAGGGGGTTGGACTAATTGATCCTCAGGGCCCCTTCCAACTCTACAATTCTACGATTATTTGTTCAATCAACTCCTGGAGGGCCACAGATCAATCATCTCTGTTGGGGAGGGGGGAAGATGCCATCAAAGACAGCTGCATCTGCAGGACTAGCAAGGAGTGGGTGATTCCCGTCATCCCGGGCCATTCCTGTTGTCGGCATCTATCTGTCTCGGGAGACAATGGAAGGGTGTACCTTTGAGGATGAAGCTGGAGAGTTACAACGCCTGCTGTGGCTGTAGAGACCGAAACAGGAGAGACCTATTCAGCGGCGTAGCGTGGGTTGTCAGCACCTGGGGCAAGGCAAGTAATTTGCGCCGCCTAACCCGGGGCAAGGCAAGTAATTTGCGCCCCCTAACCCCTAACCTGCCGCGTCAGGTGATCTGAGGCGAGTTGCCGCTGGCGCTGCCGCCCAAACGACGCCGCTTGCCCGGAGGAGGAGGGCAGAGAGGCGAGGAAAATGCAACATGGCCCAGCAGCTGCAGCAGCAGCGGCGGCGGCGGGGCTGTGAGGAGGGGCTGCCTGGCGCGCCCTCCACGGCCCTGACGCGCGGGGACCGCGGCGAGTGCTGAGAGCTGCTGCCAGCTCGTCGGTTCCGCGAGACATGGGGCTCTGCTACAGCCTGCGCCCGAGGCTCTTCGGCGACTCCGGAGGCGGCGAGCGTGCCCCCCCCCAGATGTTGCGCCCGGTGCGGCCGGCCCCCCTTGCACCCCCCACGCTACCCCACTGGACCTATTTCATTGCAGGCGAGGCAGATGAAGGTGTCCAATTCTGCTGCTACAGGTGCACCATGGCCTTCTGCACTCCTCCCAGCCGTTGTTCCTCTGCTGTGGATACATGACCTGAATGTCTCCACTTCCAGTCCTACCTCTGGTCTAATGATTTATCACAGCGATGGGGTAAAAATGAAGAGGGGGTGGAGAGAAGCCGACGAAACGAAAACCAACAGAACTATGGTTAAGGACAAAGTCACAGGGGCCAGAACAAAAAGTTGGCAACTGTGTTGGTCGTCCTGGTAACTGGGAGGCCAGAGATTTCCCCCTGGCAAGGCTAAGTGTAGAAATGGGCAGGAGGAGAGATGCTGTCCTCCTGTTTTCCTCCGGCTGGTGGGAGGATTCAGACGGGAGAAGGGAAATCGGGGATGGGTTTACCCACCCTCAGCCCTGCCGCCAGCTGCAAAGCCGACTCACCGCTCCGCAAGCCCCCACCCCCTTTGCACGCACCTCTGAGCCGGACCCCACCGGAGAGCGAGGGCGATTGACAGAAGAGAGGTCTGATCTGCTTTCCCGCCCGCGACGCCCATGGTCAAGCACACGTCACGGGGGGCGGAGGACTCGGAGCGCAACAGCGCAAGAGCTGCGGCTGCTGCTCTTCTGCCAGCACATTCCTCCTGGCAAGTGGGCATTATTATTAACCGATTCGTTGCCGGAAGAAATCGTAGGCGGCATCGTAAATCGGGAGCTGGTCAGGAGGTGGAGGGTGGGAGGGAAATCCCGATGCAAGGATTAGGACGACCCCTGCGCATTTTGAGGCAGGTCGCAGCAAAAGTTGCCGGCTCCCACATGCCCAACGACAGCAGCAGCAGCAACGGCCCCACCGCCCCACTTAAAACTAAGCAGCTCAAAAGAGGAGATGGGTGGTGGAACGAAACTGGCTTTCTGCGTGGGAGAACTCTGAACGGAGTTTTGCAAACGAACCGGTTCTAAGGGTACCGTTTACATTAGCAGCTTAAAAGGTCGTGGACCCCCTGCTTCTGTTTAAAAAACTGCATTTGCACGGTGTTAATTCACATCACAGAGGAGGAGTGGGGATGGCTTCACCTGACCCGTGTGACCTTTTTGGATTCTGGGCCCTGCAATGCCCACCCCACCCCCAAAAACTCCTTTTCATGAAGCTGTCTGCCCCTGACTCAAATGTCATTCTTAGAAAGTGTTCACATCACAGTTTACTCCGTATCCAGTTTCCTAGTCAGATTGATGTTTTGAGGTGGAGGGAGTGGGGGGCAGAGAGAGAGACAGGATCAGACAGAAGTCTTTGTGAAGAAACTACAGGATCACTGTGATGACTGTAACTAGCATGATGGGAATGTGATTTCAAAAATCAACAGCAGGAGAACATTGGATGCGGAATAAGTGGTAATGTGAACACACTTTCATATACCACTTTTTTAAAAAGAACAAAAAAACCCCGTCAAGCAGTATATATAGATTTTATGAAATGAATAAATGCACCCTGAGAATTAAGAGATATAGTACTTTTTCATTTGCTTTGACTCAATTCTCTCCCCACCCTGCATCATCACAATGTTTTTCAAAGCAACCTCATGCTGCCCTTGCCTTTAGAATCTTGAAAAACAGCCAATGAAAACAGAGTGGTGACACCTTCCAATTTTATTATATAGTAAGATATGATATGCAACTTATTCACAATATTTCAGTGGATAAATAAAATCATATACAGAAATAAATCCTCTCCGTCAAATCTACAGGGTTTTTTTAGTATCAAACATAGAGAAAGAAGAAATGACAGCAATGACATATTAGCAAATTTACTGGGGTCATAGGTTTATTAACAGTTTGTGAGCAAGGCTTCTCAACAATAGTGACCCTCAAAAAACACCTCCCTGCAATGGAATTTGGAAGACGAAACATACCCAAGTGTCCCACTGAAATTGCGATTGATACTTTATAAATTATAGCAGTAGTGTCAAGGTAACACTATGTATATTCCTCTTAATTACCATTTTCAGATTAGTAAAGTCAGTAATTAGCACTACTGAGAATCTATCAAAAGTCAATTGCTAAGGGTTCCAGACAGCTTGCAAAACAGAAAGCCACTTTTGCCTAGATCCCTTTGGTAGATATGAATTGATTTTAAAGATTCCCATTTATCCCTAGTTGGGCTTTAGGCATGTCATATATCACACCAAGTTTAGATTTTGATCCAAAATTTTAAAGCTCTGCTGGCTCAAGGCCATTCCCCATTGTCATCAGGGTTCTCCATGTCTATTTATCTTGTTTTGTATAGTTCATGGTATAAGTTGTCTTGGGCAGGTTATCATTTTCATTGGAGATGTGTTAAGGAGCCTGTTTGGAATATATGTACATATGAATGAAAAAGTCTGAATCTTTCTGCTCTTGATTTTGAGGCAGGACTCCAGGACCACTGCATGGAGGAGGCGACAATTCAGGTGTTCTCTGCATCCTTGCCAGAAGTCGGGAGATTGACAGCATTAGCACTGTCCAGAATCGTGTTCTGGTAAACCACCACAACCTGAAGAAAGGAAGAAAATCAGCCTGGGAGGGTGTCGGTCTGCTGCTCAACTTGTGAATAAAGGGGCTGAGTTTGACAAACTATCTGAGGATAACAGGGCTGCTTAGTAGGGGCAGGGGCAGGCTACGTAGCCCAAATAGTGTCAGGGACTCTGCTGAGGAGGGCTGCACTGAGAAGGAATGGTGGAAGCATCCCCCTGCTCCTGATCCAGATCCTGAATCTTCCCAAGAGCAGGAAGACAGTATAGATTTGGAACAGTGGTTTGGAGAGGGACATAGTTCAGAAGGCAGAAGCTGGGAAATACTGGATGGGGAAGAGCTAGGAGAAGAAACACCGGGGGGGGGGAGTTAACAGGTTCACTGTCTCTGGAGAGCATTCCTCCACTCAGCCCAAGGTCAAGAAGAGCTAAGAAAGTGGCAGAGCAGAAAGCACACAAAGCACAGAGGGTACAAGATCAGATTACAAGAAGTAGAAGTGACGTGGGGTGAAAGGGGGTGGAATTCTTAATTGGGAGTACCGCCATTTCTAGGAGATGGGATTTTTGTTCTCTCGCTGTGATTATTAAAGTTTCTAACTGGTAAGAAGACTCCTTTTCCTTTGTTCTGCTTATCTACTGCCAAGGTGGAGAGGAAGCTGATTCCCTGAAGCATGACAAATAGCTATGTCCTCCAATACCTCACTGCCACTAGGCAGCCCTGAATATCATATTTGACATCATGTGAAAATCGCAGAGCTAGTATCCAGACCATAGCTGTCAACTTTCAGATTTGAAAATAAGGGATCAGCAGCCTCACCTGTCCTGGGGACAGTCTACGGGATATCTAACAATCCGGAATAGCAGCGGGAAGCAGCGGGAAACGGTGTTGGAATAAGGAAATTTCCCACAAAAAAAGGGAAGGTTGACAGCTATGATCCAGACTATGGACTCTGCCACTTTGCCCCCTGAAAGGTCTAAATTCTGAAGGACGATGTTGCACACTTTCTTAAGTTTTGCATAATATTGTGCAGTTTTCCATAATTTTTGCTATTCATGGGGAGAGGCAAGGGACTAGGGAGGGTATCCCACCTCTGAACACCAGAAATGTTGTTGAACCTCATTTCTGACCTCAACATTTTTTTTAAGCATTACTCACACACCATCAGTCTTATCTAGGCAGCTTTATGAGATAAAAAGGGGGTGACAAACTGCATCCTTATCTCTCCCGCTCCATTGGGCAAAGTTTGACAGGTGAGCAAGGTAACCCACCTGTCAATGGCATGATGTCAAAATGTCAGGTGACCCATTTTTGCCTGCTTGGACGATCAGCTGATCATGAAGATTTGAAAAGCTCTGCACGTGGAGCTGTTCAAGCCCAACAATCAACTGATTGCCCAGAATGGCAACAGCCTAGAAAGCTGCCTGCAGAGGAGTCATTCACTCAGAGGTTTGGCTCAAATATTATTTCCCCTACAATGAGGAACTGGGAAGTGCAATCTGAAATGCCTTCATTTTAACTGAGCGCTTGTTGTTTCCAAAATGTGTGCAAATAGACACACGTCCCAGAGTACAGGTGGGAGGATTTAAGTTCCACAGTTCTGAGAAGAAAGTAATTTCTGGTTAAATGCTAGCTTCTCCACAGTGGCAAGCTGGCAGTGCGAAGCTAAGGATAAATTCTATAAGCATCCCAGATGAAGAATTGCAACCCGGATGTGGAATACTATTTGGACAACAACCCCTACCCCTTACGAGACAGGAGAGCAAGCAATCCCACCTCCAGAATCCCCACTCGTTTGCTTGGATTGCCAAACTCCACTCCCTTTCAAATATTACCGTTTCTGTGTGGGTTTTCAAGCACACCGTCTTGCACCCAAAGGCAGCAGTGGAGATGGAGATGCAGAATTCGAGGATGGTGAATACCAGGTGAACAGCCATCATTCCAGACAGTATATTCTGTGAATGAAAGATATGTCCTGATCGTAAGGAATCATTCTTCTTTACCACATATATCTACGTAAATAAGGAGGCAGGCAGGTGGAGTCTGGCTGAGGGCAAAGTCAGGCTGGTGGGCCAGTGCTTTGTTCCACTTAATGGACCAGCTTCCATTGATTCCCCCACTTGCTCCTCAGCCATGTTACTGTGAGTTTTTGTACTAGAAATTGAATTGAATGCTTGCTGTTCCACCTCGGCCCCTTGCACCTTTCTTTCAGATTGCAAATGGCCTGCAAGTAGTTCTAAAGTTTTTAGTATTTGATGTTTTATCTCATTTTTAACATTCTGTTGGGAGCCGCCCAGAGTGGCTGGGGAAACCCAGACAGATTGGTGCGGTATCAATATTTTGTTTTGTTTTGTTTTATATTTTCATCATCATCATCTTGCCAGGACGTGTCCTCACCTCAGGGATGACTTTGGTTTCGTAACACCTATGAGCCAGTTTTGTATCAAGGTTCCTGCACCAATACCTGGCATGAAACCCCAGGCCTGAAATAGCCAAAGATGAAGAAAGGATGATAATCCCAAGGCCAGCAGCTATGGCACTCACCACATTCAATCCCAGCATGCTCTTCACCTACAGATGGAGAAGAAAAACCATTGTGTCTCTGGCCAAAGACCCTGATGAGAGTGAGCACCTTTAAGAATGGCCTTCAAGATGAGGTCCCCACCGTGCCCTCAAGATGCCTGCCAGGGCCCCCTGTCCTTTCCAAATTGTACTTTTTTTACAGTTAGGTTCTTTGGCCTATTGTTCACTGGGGGATGGAACAGGGCTGCCTGTTTCCCCCTGCACTCACTGTTTTATTTGTTTGCAGGGTAGACGTACATTGGCTGTTGTTTAGGGCCTTCTCAGTAGTTGCACCCACCCTGTGGAACGCCCTCCCTTCGGATGCCAAGGAGATAAATGATTACACAACTTTTAGAAGACATCTGAAGGCAACGCTGTATCAGGAGGTTTTTAATGCTTGATGTTAATATTGTGTTTTTAGACATGCTGTAAGCCACCCAGGGTAAACCCAGCCAGATGGGCAGGGTATAAATAATGAAATTGTTGTCGTTGTTGTTTAGGGCCAGAATTCTGAGCATCACCAGCGTTTCTGTGAAATGGGTACTTTGTGGTGTTCATGACAATTTATTGGATTTTCAAATGTGTCCCCAGGCCCCAGAAAGGTTGGGAACCCAAGCCTTAAGGTATTTAACCCAGGCCCATTCTCTGTGTGTGCCAAGAGGATTTCAAAGAATATCCCTCTGGTTCCTGGCTTATAAAAACTAGGGGGAGATCTTTTGGCATCTGAACCCATTAAACTGGTTTTCTTATATAGCCAGCCTATTTACATATGCATGAACACGAGTCTTTATCTGGAACAATCTCTGGATGTTATGTATGTCACAGTGGGGGAGGATAATATGTTGTCACTCAACGCAACACATCACTCCTGATGAGTGGCTGTTGGGCTGATGGCAGTTGAAGTCCAGCAACATCGGGGGTGGAGGCACAGATTCCCCATCCTTGACCTGTATCACTCCAGCATGTCTCTTTGGCCCACCCCAGTTGCCAGGCCCCATTAAGACAGCAACCTCTAAGCAATGTACTGCATTGTACAAGGCAGCCTCAGAACCCCAAGTCTAGGAAGTGGCCTTAAACGGCAAGCGACACAAGTCACAAATTCTCTCTTTCTTTTTCATCAGACTCTTCACATCACACAATCCCATAAGAGGTTAGTCACCAGCGGCTTCTTGGGGTTGCTAGCAGCTGCCACAGACAGGGATCCTGAAATGATGTACTGCAAGAGACAGATGGAGAGACAGAGAGAAATACGGGGCAATGAACGAATCTCAAATGGACTGACAGTCTGGTTCTGTCCACTAGATCATAATCAGAGGCACTTGCAGAGGAAGGGGGTGTGGAGGGTGTGGTCCGCCCTGGGTGTCATCCCGGGGGGGGGGGTACATCGCCACGCCGCCGCCCCTAGGATGCTCGCCCCGCCCCTGGGTGCACAACATGTGCGCTGCTCCGGGTGCCTGAGCAGCTAGCTCCACCTCTGATCAGAGGACTGTTAGATTGGGCATCATCTGACTTTATTCAAATGAAAATCACTGTTTTGTTGAACAGATCCACTTAAATCAGGAGATTTTTCCATTCAGATCAGGGGTCTGTGTTCAACAAAACAACTGTTTCCATGCTCTCTGGTAACTGCTGCAATGCTTGTGAAAGCCTGGCAGAAACTTCAGCTGTTCTAAGAGAATGTTGTTCTGATGCTGGATGGTTGACCAGGACTAGCCAAACAGAACATATTGCACCCTTCTTAACAAGCTGTGGATCTACACACAGGGCGAGGGGGGTGCTATAAATAAGTCAGAAATCACAGGGGTCTGCAAACTTTTTCACCAGGGGGCCAGCCCACTGTTCCTCAGACCTAGTGGGGGCCCAGACCATATGGGGGGGGGGATGAACGAATTCCTATGCCCCACAAATAACCCAGAGATGCATTTTAAATAAAAGCACACATTCTACTCATGTGAAAACACGCTGATTCCCGGACCGTCCGCGGGCCGGATTTAGAAGGTGATTGGGCCACATCCAGCCCCTGAGCCTTAGTTTGCCTATCCATGAATTAGATCATTATAACAATGGGGGAGGACTATGGAAAATCATATATAAATATTTCCTGCTCTCTGGCACCATCTGGTGTTGCATGTTTATAGCGTATTCAAAGCATTGTTTCTTTACTAATGTGGCTGAGTTCAATGACCAAGCACAGTTCAAAGTGTTGGTTCTTAGGGCCCTAATGGTTTGGGACTCAAGTATCCAATAGCTATTGCCTCCATGACCTGCTTGCAGGCTTCCCAGAGTCATCTCGTTGGCCAGAGTGGCAAACAGGACACTGAACTGGATAGGCTTTTGGTCTGATCCAGCACACTCTTCCTATGTCCTTAGTTAGACCTGCCTGCTTTGGGCAGCCATTCAGCAAACGCGGAGCAGAAAGCAGGTTTCAAAACATAGCACTAGCACAGGAATTGTTTGACAGAGCAAAGGTGAATCCTGTCAAACTTCTCTTAGGTTCAAATATGAAGAATTACCGGGATTCCTGTCCAATACGGGGTCATTATGACCACATAAAGCAAGAAGTCATTAGATGCCATATTCATCACAAGCCCAAAAGCCATTCCCATGATGCCTATGAGTATCTGAGTGATCTGCAAAGAGAGAATTAAACATGATGTTACCCTGATCTTGTTCATCCTTGACGATAATAAGTACAATTTGCCCATGACAAGTTCCCTAAATGATGATAAACTTCAGCAGGTGAGTGGGAAGGTGGGTGACATTTTCCCTTTTGAAATATGGAAACATTTTTTTACTAGTGGAACCTTCAAGGCTCAACACTTTTATTATGGCATAGGGTTTAATCCACGGAAGTCTTGTGCTGTAATAAATGTGTCTTACAAATGCCACAAGACTCTTGTTTTTGCAGGAATAGTTTTAATGCAACTGCCCCTCTGAAAATGATCTGATTTGCTGCAAGAAAACAGATTCAGATCCTGTAACAGGTTTAGCAGGGCATTAGCGGGAGGTCACCTTAACCGAGGTCTGTTTCATGCATTTTGTTACCTATCACAGTGGATACTTGGGTGTTCATCTCAGCCTTTGCTCACACAACAATTGCTCACCCATTGTCCCAGTGGCATATTAGCTGCTTGGCTAGGGTCAAGGTATCAGGAGACCTAAAAGATTGCCCCGCCCATTATATACCAAACCAATCACTGCATTCTGCATTCTGCTCCTGCAAGTACCGTCACACCTGGAGATCTTCCAAATCATGTACAGATCAAAGCTTTAGTGTGTCGGGACTTCCCTTTGGAACTTCCTCCTATTAAATATCAGTCAGGCACCATCCCTAGTGCCTTTTCAGGAGCTTCTGAGGACCTTCATTTCCCTTTTTTAATTTTTAATGTCATTTCCCAACAAACCTTTTAAGTTGAGATTCTTACCACACCCTTTATCTGTATTGGATTTGGAATTGCTTTAAAACATGTTGTTGTTGTTGCTGCTGTTTTTCTGATGATTTTATTATTCATCACTTTGGGATGTTTCATGATGATGACTTATGACAGGCATAGGCAAACTCAACCTTCCAGACATTTTGAGACTACAGTTCCCATCATCCCTGACCACTGGTCCTGTTAGCAAGGGATGATGGGAGTTGTAGTCCCAAAACATCTGGAGGGCCGAGTTTGCCTATGCCTGATTTATTACTTGTACCCTGCCCATCAGACTGGGTTGCCCCAGGCACTCTGGGCAATGCCACCATGGACAAAACCAAATAAATAAAATGCACACATTGAAGACCCGATCAAGGATTGTGCATTTGACAGTCTGGATATTGCCCCACAGACAGATAACTCTGCAAGCCCTGTTCCCACAACTCTCACTCCACCCCTTTATGGAACCCTAAAACTTATAAGGAGTGGGAATAATTGGCTCCATTCCCTAAGCCAGAGGTCTATTCCCCCTGCTGATGTCAAAATGTTCCTTTTCATGAATGCGCAGGCCCACCTCTTAGCAGTGCCCTCATCGCATGTTGGGATGCACATGCTTCCCTTCCATTAAGTCAAGGCTGGGAAACCTGCAGCCCTCCAGACATTGCTGGACCCCAACACCCATCAGCCCATCAGCATGGCCAATGGCCAGAATAATGGAAGTTCCGGTCCAGCAAAATCTGGATGGTCCACAATCCAGTTTTACACATTCTCAGCAGTGCTGCAAGCTAATTCACCATTCTGATCTTACTCCAGAGGAACCCAAAGGTGCCCTGGATACTGTCTGAGAAGCACCACTATCAAGCTGATTGGGGAAGAAAGCTCCTAAAAGAGACAGTTATTGGTGCAGGGCAGACATGGTGGACTCAAACACTGCAGCTCCTGTTTGTTTGTTTGTTTGTTTGTTTGTTTGCACTCACCCCCAGTGCCAACGGCTCCCCAGCATAAAATTTCTTCAGTGGCCTCTGCAGAGAAGGACTGGCCCCAGCGCTGGAGAAAATCTGAGGTTGTTGGGTCACAATCTGAGTCGGAGGCCCTGCTCCAGAGCCCTCTGGACCTATGGGTGTCTCAGAAAGCTTGTGGGGCACGATCTGAGTGGAAATAATAGTTCTCGAGCCCCCTGGATCCATGGAGGCAAATTTCTAGTCTTAACTGCCTCTCTGGGAAACAGAGAAGATAAAGAGACGGGAGGATAGAGTGGGAAAGGAGAGCAAGGCACACAGAAATAAATGGTGAAGAGTCACATTTTGGAAGCGGCAGAGTATTTAGAGCCTGGATCTAGAAAAGCAGTGGTTCAGCTTTTCTCCAGATGGAGATGCAAAGTGCATCATTACGGCTTCTGGAAATGTTTCCAGAACAGTTTGTACCTAGGTCCCAGCTTTCCTCCTTGGCCCACATTACTTACTACTACTACTACTACTACTACTATACCCCACCCACCTGGCTTGTTTTCCACGGATTTGCATTTTCAAAGAAACATAGATTTGGAGAGTTGGAAGGGACCCCGAGGGTCATCTAGTCCAACCCCAGCAATGAATTTGTTCCGATTTAGAGCTAAAGAGCCGGTTTTCCCTGGGAAAGGAGCAGGGCAAGGGGGAAACCATTCTTTCTAGTCACAGGACAAGCGGAAGTCCATCATTTCCATCATTTAAAAAAGTGCGCCTCAAATCATCTACATGCTGCGCAAAGAGTGAGGTGGCTGCTTGGCAACCCGGGATGTTTGAGCGTTTCGTAGAAACAGGGAGGGCGTGGCTTTCGTCTCCCCCGCCCCAAAGCCGGCACAAATCATCCCAGCCTCCGGCACCTTCCACTTTCCCCCTAATAAGTCCCAAGGCTTCTGTAGCGCCTCCGTTAACTGTGCGTTACTCCTTTTGCCAGAAGATGGGGCTGAGAAGCAGGCTGGATTATGGAAGAGAATTCGGGAGACAGTTCCAGCATCTTGCAAAAGCCAGGGACGAAACCCCTACAAATTGCACCCCGGCGCGCCCTGAGCGCTGGGCACCCCGTTCCCTTCCCTTACCACCTCTGGGTCGTGTCAGCAGACGCGGATCTTGGAGAGGTTGAACGAAGCGAGCGAGCTGAAGAGCTGCCTCGGCCAAATAGGCTGTTGCTGGCTGAGCGTTGCAACAGCAGAGACAGAGACAGAAAGACAGGATCAACATCTTACCCACCTCCCTTGAAAGCATGCAGTTAGGGAATTTAAGCGTCTGCCTTTAATGGCTTTGTAGATGATACAAGGATGGCCCCAGGGGCGCGCTTAGCCTGTATTGAGAATCGAGGCTTTTAGTGTTGCTGCTCCAGCTCTCTGGAATGAATTGCCAGCCAAAATCAGGCAGCGGCCGAGCATAACGGTGCTTCGGCACCTACTGAAGACATATTTGGTTTAGGAAAGCTTTCCTAAAAATGGAAGCTAGTCATTTGTGCAAAATCAGTTTTATATCTGATGTTTTCTTGTTTCTGGCATTTGTAGGGATTTTTTTAAAAAAAGTTTGTTAACTTGATTTTATTGTATTTGGAGCCTGTGTTTCTATATTTTGTTCCATTTTTACTGAATACACCACAGCGTAGCAATTTATAAATGTGGTTATTATCATTAGAAGCACAGAATTGTAGAGTTGGAAGGGACCCTGCAACGCAGGAATCTCAGCTAAAGCATCCATGACAAATGGCCATCCAACCTTTGCTTAAAAACCTTTGATGAAGGAGAGTCCACCACTTCCCGAGAGAGACCCTTCCACTGTCAAACAGCTCTTACTGTCAGAAGTTTCTCCTGGTGTTTAGTCAGAATCTCCCTTCTGGTAATTTGAAGCCATTGATTCAGATCCTGCCCTCTGGAACAGGAGAAAACAAGCTTTTGCACTCTTCCATGTGACAGTCTTTGGGATATTTGAAGATGGCTGTCATATCTCCTCTCACTTTCCTTCTTTCCAGGCTAAACATACCCAACTCCCTCAACCGTTCCTCATAAGGCTTGGTTTCCAGATCAGTCTTCGTCACCCTTCTCTGCACACGTTCCAGTTTGTCAACATCCTTCTTAGATTGTGGTGCCCAGAATTGGACACAGTATTCCAGGTGTGCTCTGACCAAGGCCGATTAAAGGCAAAGGGACTCCTGACCATTAGGTCCAGTCATGACCGACTCTGGGGTTGCGGCGCTCATCTTGCTTTACTGGCCGAGGGAGCCGGCGTACAGCTTCCGGGTCATGTGGCCAGCAGGACTAAGCCGCTTCTGGCAAACCAGAGTAGCACACGGAAACGCCGTTTACCATCCCGCCTATTTACCTACTTGCACTTTGACATGCTTTCGAACTGCTAGGTTGGCAGGAGCAGGGACCGAACAACGGGATCTGGTCACTATACTTCTGTTGATACAGCCTAGAATAGCATTAGCTTTTTTAGCTGCTGTGTTGATTCATGTTAAGCTTGTGGTCTATTAAGACCCCTCGGTACTTTTCATTACCGGCATTCCGGGTATCCCCATCTTATATTTGTGCAGCTAGTTTTTCCTGCCTAAGTGTAGAAATTTAACATTTGTTCCTATTGAAATTTAGTTAGTTAGTTTGGCCCAGTTCTTCAATCTGTTAAGGTCATCTTGAATCCCAATTCTGTCTTCTGTGGCATTAGCTACCCCTCCCAGTTTGGGAGTCAGCAATGGATTTACTTGGTCAGATGATTCTTAAAATAAAGTAAAATAAACCCTACCCTTTTCACAGGCAGTAAGGCAAGCAAATTTTCTGCACAAAGTCCCGCCTTTGCTACTAACTTTGAAGGGTATGCTAGAATTCTGCCTTTCTCCTTTTCTTTTCTTTTCTTTTCTTTTCTTTTCTTTTCTTTTCTTTTTTCTTTTCATTTTGCTTTATTATACTTAGTTACAACTGTACAACTTAAACTTGAGTTCATTGTCACCAATAAACTGATTTAAAAAACCCTAACATTTTAACAATACATTTTCTTCCGAAGTGTCAGACTTCCTGTCTTTTCCATATTTTGTTCTATTGAAACCTATCGCATAAATTTGTCCATTTGTTTAATAATAAAGTACAAATAATTATATCATTCTCTTTTTGTACGAATTGTTTACAGAGATTATTCAAAGGACCTTCCAGAATTTAAATCACAACAAATGTTCTCAAGATATTTCTTGAGAACTCCCCAATCCTTTCTCCTTTTCTTGCTCCCACCAGGGGGAGACAAAAAGGTGTCAAGTAACCAAAATATCCCATCTTCTCACAAGGAATTATCACTATTTTTCAAGTTGTGCTTTCTCAAGCAGCCTCAAGAGGGGGTGCTCCAGCCATGAGGGATGCATTTTCCTGCTAAAAAAACCCCAAAAACCCAGATAGTCAGTTGCTTTCTTGCGTTAGATGTTTAGAGCGCTGGATGAAGATGGAGGAGACCAAGGTTCAAATCCCCACTCAGGTATGAAACCCCCTGGGTGATATTGGGCAAGTCACTGTCTCTCAGCCTCATCTGCTTTACATAGTTGTTGTGAGAATGATCTAGCTGCCACCTTGAGCTCTGGGGAGGATAGAAATGCAGTAATAATGGAAGCGAATAAATAATAAAAGTGATTAAGAAAACAAACATAAGCAACAGCGGCATATTTTATCATATGTGGTGGAACTGTAAAGTGATAAAGGAATTCTGGGAAATTATATATAAGGAACTGGGGGGAAATGTTTAAAATAACTTTTGTTAAAAAGCCAGAAGCCTTTTTGTTAGGAATTATAGGCGCAGAGATACCGAAGGAACTAAAAAGACTGTTTATGTACGCTGCAACAACCACAAGGATGATACTTGCCCAGAGTTGGAAAGACGACAAGATACCTACTAGGGCAGACTGGCAGATGAAATTATTGGACTATGCAGAGATGGCAAGATTAACTGGGAAAATCAGAAATCAGGAGAATCAAAATTTCAACAAGGAATGGAACGAATTTATATTGCATTTGAAAGACCACTGTAAACACTTGAACTCTTTGGCAGGCTTTAAATAACTCTTGACAATGATACAGAGATTTTGGATATAATGGAGGATGGTAAATTAGATGGACTTATAATATACAGGGGTGGTTTTTTTTTTAAAAAAAGGTTATTTAAAGAACCCACGGAGCGAAGGAGGGAAGTCTTGAGATTCAGAAGAATCATATGCAAATTTTAATACTTGTAATGATATTATTGTGTGAATCATTTTGTAAAATCAAATAGAATCTATTTAAAATAAACAATCTCTCTCTCTCTCCAAAGAACAAAAAACAAAAAAAGCAGTAGCAATGTAATGTTGGTCTTTACAAAGCCAGGAAATTGTGTCCTCACAAGTAAATGGAGCCAGTTGCAACTCCATGAATATTTTGCTGACAGTTCATGGCACTGGGAGCAGCAATATCCCTCTGGCACGATGACTTCTCTTAGAACATGGCTGCATATAAGACGCCAGCGAAAGCATGAAATCAAATACAGCCAGCAAACGTAGAAAAAACAAGCCACGCCAAAAATTTATTGCAAGTACAGAATTTGAGACTTCTTGGTGCAGATGGAGGACCATAGGGTTTTTCTTGGCCTGGAGTGTCGACAGCCAGGCCCTCCGATCCAGGCAGCATCTCCCCCTGGCCTCAGGACGCACAAGGGAAAGAACAAAGAATTCACAAAGGTTCTTGTTCTACAGCGAGGCTGGTTTAATGTAATGAAAACACAACTTTTGTTGCAGTTGTAACACGAGAAAAGGCAACGCTTCTTGTAGGCCAAGAAAAATGGACGGAGGTTGTGGGAGCAAGTGGAGGACAAACCAGGATGTGTCAGGCAGAGGATGGATAGATTTGGGGTGGGGGAGCTAAGGGAGTGCTCCCCTATTGGGGGATAACAGGTTACATTACGATCTGTCAAAGCAGATCTGTCAATCAAAGCAGCCCCACCCACCCCGCCCTGCTCCTCCCAATCAGTGCAGTCCTCCAGAGGATAAGAGATGGCTTCAGGCTGGTGTCACGTCGTAGTTCCTGTAAAGAAAGGAAACAGGGATCAGGGCAAGGAATATGAGAATACACGTTAGGCTCCTCGGGGTGATCTATTTACTGAGTATTCATCCTGATTCTCTTGCACAAAGCATACGCAGAGGTTCAGGCACTTTCAAGCAGTCATTTCATTGAACATGCCTCCTGATTTGTTTACAGGGAGATGAGAAGGCATTGGCTATTTAACGAGCTTTTGTTCTGATCTGTGTGCAGCAATGTTAGATAATGTTGCGCCCAGTGGTTATGGGTGTCCATTGGGACTGGGGGAGCAGAAAGCAGGGAGCCCAACATTTAGGTTGCCCCACAGCTAATGACAGGCGAAGCCAACTCATTCTAGAATCAATGGAGAATGAGGGCTTGCCTTTTCTGCAAAATCCACGCGCAATCTAGATCGATTGCTGATTTCTTTGCGCTTCTAGAGAAACTGCTTTCATTCTGAAAATAAAAGCTTGTTGCAGACTGATTTTTCACTTCCTGTTCATTTAAAGAAACAGATGCAGATGGTTCCAGCAACGGGGAGATGGGTGTCTCCCCCACCCCCAGACCAATGACACTGTTGGTGGACCAGAGTGAACAAGATGACAATCACCAGTTTCTTCTTTTTTCACCTGGGGTATGGGCAGGGAGAAAAGGCTTGGGTAACCTAATGAAGGGGAGAGTTTTCAAATGCATATCAAGTAGCCACAACCACCCTTGTAGATCTAGATAAATATAAGATTAGTGTGTAGGCAGTCCCAAAGTCCCAGTATGCATTTTGATCCCTCCCACAAATAGTGACACCTTAATTACAAATACGTAGGCTGCATTCATATTCCAGCATTTGGACTTTCACAAGATGGAGTTAATTAGAGGTAAGGAAACAGGAATGGGTGGGCGGGAAGGTGTCGCTCACCTTGTCCGCTTCTTCCCTCTGCATCGAGATTTTCCATGTTTCCCACCTGGAAGTGGAGAGAAAACAAACCATTTTCTGAACTCTTCCTCCTAGAGTAAAGGCTCATTTTCTGAACCCAGCCCTTCAGCCTCCCCTCTCTAGCCCCCTCCTAAGAACTACCAGATCCTGCTGCCAGATACCAAAGGCATACTATTAGAACGGGGGTGGGCAGGGCTGGAGGAAGCACAGTGCCTCTAAGCAACTGTTGAGTGCAGGATTTGCTTTGAGTTTTGCAGATTCCAGTTATCAGTCGTGCACTTATTACTTAGGGCTTGTCCACACTTCGACTTCCCCCGCCACTCTCCCCTCGGGAAACCTGCTCTTTACTGCTGAATCGAAGCAAACGTCAGTCAGGTTTTCCATGGATTGATATTTGCTCCAATTCAGTGGTAAAGAGCAGGTTTTCCCAGGGAAGGTAGCAGGGCGAACAGAAAACCACTTGGACCCGTGTCAAGAAAGAATGGGACATGCGGAAAACTGCATGGTCTTGTGCTTTCTAGGCTTGGGACAAGCAAAGTGTGGATGAGCCCTTAATAAGGTCTCAGATGAGGAGAGGAGAGGGGCGATTATGTGAATATCCAGGCACAATTATACCTCTACTTCTCCACTCTTTTGCCACCCACATTTAGGGAGAGAACTCTAAGCAGCACCACTCATCCCAGTTGCTCATACTTACAGGTGAGAATGAGAATGCCAAGGATGAAGAGGATGGCAGCAGCTATCAAGCCCCCTTTGCGCAGGGAATAGTAATCTGCAAGAGTATGGAGAAAATCAGACATTTAATGCAAGCCTGAAGTACACACTAAAGCTGTGTACAAATTAGCAGCTCAAAATACAGCAAGGTTGTTCTTTTTCTCAATTAGGATCAAAGCTGGTGGGGGGCAGGAAGGAACCAAAATATAGTACAACAGCAGTGCTCCCCCCCCCGAAAAAGAAGTGCTGAAACTCACCAAGGAATCCTCCCTAGTTCTACTGAGTTCCTGTGAGTTCCCCCTGAAAAAGCCATGTGCAACAGTGTACACACTCCTGTTTAATCTGCAGCCAGCACCTTTCCGATTCTTTTGGGAAATGGTGTACACACAATGTAAGCCAAAGTAGCAGTGGGAGTGCACTGGGTGTAAACAGGAATGGGTACATCGCCATTCCTTCACTCTGTTTCCAGAGTTCAGAGATGAGTGTTGTTCCTTTAAGTAGCCAAAACTGCACTAGCCACAAACAAGAGGATCAAGGAGTTTTGGGAGAACCCCCAAGGTTTCCATAAATACAAAAAGAACGTAGGGGTGAGCAAACCCTAAACAGACCAGTGAAAACTGAGCATGCTCAGTGACCATGGAATGTTGGCTACAGCTGTGTGCAAACTATTCTTCTAAGGAAATTTCAAAGCACATTCTTTCCCTCAAAGAATTCTGGGCACCATAATTCACCTCTCACAGAGTTGCAGTTCCCAGCAACCCTTGACAAACTGGTACCCATAATTATCTGAGGCGCGGAAATGTACTTGAATGTGTTGCAAAGGTGTACTATGTACACAACCAGATAATGGAATTTAAGAGAGCTCAAAGGAGAGAGGCACCTCTTCCTATAGTGTACACCCCTATTTCTTTTGTCCCACTGTCTCTTCTGTTCAGATGAGTTGTGCAAGTTTTCCAAAGGTGAGAAAGTCTGCATTACCTCTTAATGGATGACAATAGTGGGATGAGTAAACATCTCAGGAGAAACCAACTTTCATTGAAAGCCCCTTTTAAGTATCTGAAAAAGTATCTATTGTTATGAGTTTGAGGGGGAGGAAGTAGGCTGTCTGCGAGATCCTTCTAACCCCTGGATTCAGCAAGGGTTAAAATATAAGCCAGGCTGGCTTCCTGTGCTGGGGTGATCACCTGGGTGATGGGCCATTAAGAGAACAAAGGAGGGGGCTCTTTGCGAGAAGCCAAATGGGTGATATCAGAGATAGTTAGTTAGTTAGAAAGTTAGATAGTTAGATGGTTAGAAAGACAAAGCCTGAGTCTGGAGTTGAGTTTGCAGTGATGTAACCTCCCTCCAGTTTGTAAAGCAACAAACTGGAGGGAGGATCAGAGGGAAATGTTTCATTTCTGTTTAAATCGAAGGCTGTGGCCATAGGAGAAACAAGACCCTTCTGGGCTGTTAATGCTGTGAACCCTTCCAGTGTAGGCTCAGGTTGTATACATGTGTAAGCAAACCATATATGATAAAGACACCACAGTTTCTGCTGTGCATCATTCCCAAAAGGAAACACAAGTCCTGGATTAGCACCTGGAACCCCTAGAATCCCCACCACTCGGAGATGGGGATGGCATGCAACACAATGGTCTGTTTCCAGCTTGTTGAGACTCACCATAATGGAAAACATTCTCTTGGTAATCTACCTTCCAAACATCTGTTAAAAAAGAAGGAATGTGAGATAGTTGAGAAATATGCCCAGCTTGCCACTATGAGGAAGAAGAGGTCATGTCTGATCCTCCTGCTACAGCAGAGGTGGGGAAACTCAGACCTACAGGCTTGTTGTGCCCCTCCAAGCCCCTCAAATGGCCCTCTCCTAGGCCACACCCCACCCCGCCCCTGCTCTGCACCCTGCATGAGTATTTTTGTCTGCTTCAGATGTGTCCTTGAAATGTGATAATGCCTCTTGCTTGCCTGGTGGAAGGATGGAGACAAGTGTTTGCAGTGCATGAGGAAATCTCTAGCTTTTGTGTGGCTGGGCTATAGCCTTCTGTACGGAAGTGAGAGTCACACCTGTGACTGCCCACTTTTGCTTCTGGGCCCACCCACTTTTAACTCCAGCCCTGCCCACCGCTGGCCTGCAATTCCTTGAAGGCATTGGTTTCGTCTTGGCAAAATCCCTGATATTTGCAGACGTTTGTGTACTTAAAAGTTATATACCTGTAATATGGGGATTGACGGCAGGAGAGCAGAATGAGGGGACTGCTCAAGCAGCAAATACTGCCAAAGGGCACCTTCCTGAACCACTGGCCAGAGCCTTTGGTTGGGGGACAGAACTGTGTGTGTCCTGCACCCTCATAATTATCCTGCTGCCCTCACTTAAAGGACACTATTCTGTTGTTGGTGTTGAATTAAGGTTCATCTTCCAGTCCCTCAACTTCTGTACACAGAACATGGATTTGTCTTTTGCCTTCTACATACCTGTTCTCCTCCTCTGGTCTACAGATGGCTGTTGAGCTTGGGTAACTTCTGGAAAAGAAAACGCAGAAGGAGACAGGTGAGCTGGTTCCATTCTTTTGGATGTGGCAAAGCAAACTCTTTCTGATTGTTCCCTCTCTCTGCCCACCTCCCCTCATGGGTGGTCCATGGTTCTTATGCTCACCTGCAGCACTGGTGAAGCTCACACTGCTAGGGGTGATGCCGTTAGTTGTCTCCACTTCAGCTACAGATGTCTCTTCTACTGCATATTAAGAAAAGAGTGTTACACTGGAGCTAGGATGAAATCCCCTTGTAGATAATTTCAGTCTCCTGGCCCTACAACTTTCCTTGCCAGTTCTGATGTTGCTAGCTTCCTCATGAGACCAGTCTGGCAATGGCTCGCTGGGGGTGGGTCATGAAGAAGCAAAAGGCTGATAATGGCCTGGTTTGTTTGATAATGGTGAGCCATTGGCAAAACATAAGACCCTTTGCTTTTTGGGGTAAATGGTCACCCTACCCCAAAAGCTATTGGGCAGAATGTCTTATGCATTTTTCAATGAGCTTGAGAAACAGAGGTTGCCAGGGGCAGGGTGGGAATGTTGTTTGAACTGTTGGGAGAATTCTGCCCCATCCGTGGAGAATTGTCAAGTTGGAAGGGACCCGAAGGGCCATCTAGCTCAATCCCTTGCAGTGCAGGAATCTTTTTGCCCAACGTGCTCGAACCCATGTTCCTGAGATTAAGAGTCACGTGCTCTACTGACTGAAATGTCCCCCCTCTGCTCACGACAAGGGTGGAGAATTTGGGTAGGCCATTTTCACTATCACGTCATGATTTACAACTCACACACAGGCTGTGGGAATGGTGAGCCTGAACCCACCCTGACCAGTTGTTGGACTACAACTCCCATGATCCCCAAACACAGGCCATGCTGGCTGGGGCTGGTGAGAGTTGAAGTCTTGCAACATCTGTAGGAGGGCCACAAGTCCTCCACCCCGGTTGCAACACACAAGCATAAATGTTGTCTAAGGATTTTCCCTTCCTGGAATGCTTCCAGGCAAGTGGTTTATTGAGCATTCATCCTGATTTTGCTACCGGGAGATTAGATGGTGTTGGCTATTTAGTGAACATTTATTCTGATTTGTTTGCAGGGAGGTTTTGTGAGCACCACAGCACAACTAATAAATTGGAATGGTGTGTGGATGGTCCAGTATAAATCTGCCACTATTGCACTATTTTTTTGCAACAGTGATATGCTGCAGAACACAACCACAAAAAGGAAAAACTCGCTCCAGTCTGAAGGAGCCGTGTGTGTGTGTGTGTGTGTGTGTGTGTGTATGCAGTCATCCTTCATGCCAATAGGGGGGAATTAAACATCCTTTTACATTTGACAATATTTGCAGGTAGAAGTTCTGGTCTTGTCTTATATATCTTGCACAAATATCCATGGAATTATGGAAGGATTCCATCCCAAGGATGTTCTCAGCCACATACCCCTTAGTGATGCATTCTCCCGTTGCTGGAAATTCAGAGGGCTTGCCGTCATACTTTCAGCCTCTGGCTCCTCTGCTATAGAAGACCAGGATATAGAGAAGAAATGTTGGGTTAGAAAGATCTGCAAGTCCTCTCCCTCGAGTGCTACACTGCTACTACCGATTGCAGCTGGCCAGATGTCAACATGGAGGGCAGAACTCCTGTGTCTTTATAAAAACTGATTGAAGCTGGTGGTTTGTACACACATCCCATTTATGCCTCTAGCCAAAAAAGTTCTGCAGACTTTCATAGTGTTTCATGAACCTTCCAAAAACCACCGGGCCCACGGCGACAATGGGATGGGCGAATATGGCATTTTTCAGGTTCTCCTGGTGTCTTCTTTTCCAAATCTTAAGTTCAGTTCTCCCACATTTCCACAATACCTTGCAATTTGTTTTCTGCATGAATCCCAGGCTTCGGCTATGGGAGAAGCAATATCTTCTTGGGGTGTTAATGCCATGAGCCCCTCCATCATAGGCTCAGGTTGTCGATATGTGTAAATAAACCATGTCTTCTAAAGACTGTCCCTCATTTTAAGGAAACCAGTTGGGGTTGCGTGCAACAATATGTACGTTGTTATAAATTAGGTATGTTTTGCAAGTTGCGAGTCCACAGTAAGAATCAACAAGCAGCCGTAACAAAGTTGACAAGCAACTGAAACAAAAATGTACCAAGGTATTTTCCCCTTGAAGTGCAAATCAGTTATGCAGCTAAGACTTGTAACATTCCAAATTTCACTTTCTTTACATGTAAACAAAACCCGCAAAGCTTTAGCAGGATGGGGAAACATTGTAAATTGCATTTGGTATATATGCAAGGTAATGAAATGATAGAAGCAAGTATAAGTAATAAAATTAACTCTAGCCATAGATAATCAGAAAAATCCAAATATTCAGTCATTTCAATACTTTGTAAAGCCATGGTATGTATTTGGGAACAGAAAGTTTTTCTTACTGTGCTCAGTAAAGGAGGTCAAGTTTCTTATTACTTGCCATCTCCCCACCCCTCCTGCCTTCGGCTCTAATATAAATGTTATGTACTGAGTTGAATAGGATCCAAATTGCAGCAGTCTGATTGGTCCTAGAACAATAGGATCCAGAATGCAGCAGTCTGATTTGTCTGCAGGAGCCACCCAATCCAACTCTAGGTGGAAGTGAATCCGCAACCTGATTGGCCTGCAGGAGATTCCCAGAATTAGCCAATCACGTGGGGCCCATTGTGTAAATAATGTATATAAAGCAGACAGTTCAGGGAAACATCCCCATTCCTCACTACTATGAGCTGAATAAAGAGCATGAAATCCACGCTCGACTCTGAGTATATTTCAGTAAAGTATTAGCTTAACCCTTGAAACGAACACCTACACTTCCTCCTTATCTATTTATCTATTCTTTTATATGATGGGACTGTAATGGTTGGTAATAAATGTAATAGAAGAAGAAGAAGATCATGGTCCTCCTCAGAAGACTATTTAGTTAAGAGTCTAAAATTACAACACTGCACCATTGTTGGTTGCATTTATTTATTTTTTTAATAAAATGAAAAGCAGCTTTAGGAGAGGGGAATTTAGAATGGAGAAGGATCATCGGGAGGGAGCCTTTAACCCTTGCCCTGCCTGCTATTTTTCTCTGGTCAAAGTCACACATACTACATTAGCTTTATTTCCCTCCAAGGGGCAGGGGGTTCAAAACTGATACTGCTGACCTTTAACTAATAAAGAACATAAGAGCTTTTGAAGGGGCAGGCAGATGTTGGCAGCAAAGTGATTTGGTGTTTGTTTGGTTTTTTTGGCTGCATTATGAATGCATCACCACGCCTTTTGGGAAGGTCCAGGTATGGCTAGTCATTTGCAGAACTGTAAAACTTACCTGTCCTATCCTATCAAACCTATCCATTCTGAAGGAAATCAGCCCTGAGTGCTCACTGGAAGGACAGATCCTGAAGGTGAGGCTCCAGTACTTTGGCCACCTCATGAGAAGAGAAGACTCCCTGGAAAAGACCCTGATGTTGGGAAAGACTGAGGGCACAAGGAGAAGGGGACGGCAGAGGATGAGATGGTTGGACCGTGTTCTCGAAGCTACCAACATGAGTCTGACCAAATTGCGGGAGGCAGTGGAAGACAGGAGTGCCTAGCGTGCTCTGGTCCATGGGGTCACAAAGAGACTGACATGACTAAATGACTAAACAAACAAAACTTACCTGTGGAAGGCAAAAAGGACTCAGTTGTGGTTCTATCGCCATCTGCATCCTGCCCCACAAGTGGGGATGAGGTACCTGAAACCAAAGCCACAAGCTTACATAAATATCCTTCTGAGCATGCAGAGATAGCCTGATGATGTGTCAGCATAGCTAGGGAATCTGGGGCCCCTCCAGATGTTGTTCAATTCCAACTCCCATCATCCACAGTCAGCATGGCTAAAGGTCAGGGATGATGGGAGTTGGAGTCCAACCAACTGGCTGACATCAGTTTAAGCAAAATCTTAAGTCTTAAGGGCCAAGGGCTGCGTTCAACAAAACAAAGACTGGTTTTCAGACTTAAAGTTGTTGATGACTGACCAAAAGGGAAATGCACCAATTTTTGTTTGAAAGTGCATGCTTCTCAGCAAAATCCAAACCCAAGATCCATTTCATTTGCTGGAATGAAAGCAAGAATGCAGTGGGTTGAAGTCCTTTCCGTGCACGAACAGCAAAATCTTTCTTTTGTACATGTTTATTCCAGGCTTTCTGCAAGAAGCTTGCAGAAGTGTCCCGTCCCCCCGCACTCCATTTTATCCTTGCAACAGCCCTGTGAGGTAGACTAAGTGACTGGCCCAATATCATCCAACAGGCTTCTATGCTGAGATTTTTGTACATGATACTTGGCTGGAGAACTGCATTGCAAAATCAAGAGAAATGTGAATTTTGAAAGATGGCTGTGTTTTGGTTCCCATATTGTTTCAGAAAATATGAATCAGTTAAGTTTGCCTTTAATTGCAAACTGAATCCAGCTTCTCCCTGCTCCTTGGGCGGAAGCCAGCTACAGTCTGCATCCTCCCGGTGTTTTTCAGCAATGTTTTCAAGTCAGCCCATGCAATTGAACATGGCAAGGCATTACTACATCTCTCTGCTTTCCTCACCGCAAACACTTTGCAACGATAATAAATAAAGGCACTTGATTGGTTTCAAAATAGCATAAAGTAACATAAAGTAACAGCTACAAGATAAAACTTAAGAACTAAAACAGGGGTATCCAACATTTTTGGACTACAATCCCCATCGGCCAACATGGCCAGTGGTGGGCACTGATGGGAGATGTAATCCCAAACTTCAGCCGGGCACCATATTGGTGTGGGAATGTTGAGGAAAGCTAGGAGAGGATATATTGTTTAAATATTATCTCTCCTCGCTCATGCTTATGAGTAAGTAGCAGAGCACATTCCCTTGCACATTTCTGGAAGCTAGCTGATGGATTTGTGAGAATCATTTGAGTTAAGCAATCCAGTCTGGCTTGTCCAGTCTGGATTGTTCCTGGTCAGTTTCCCCTTATGTTTCCCTCTGAAAATAATAATACAACAGTCTTCATTAAAAGTAACAGTAAAGTTTGCTTACATTCAGTTCACAGTATTGTCCTGAAGGCAGGTTTTATCTTGTAGTTACATTTACAGTTGTAGAGAAAAGAAGTCTGAGCTAGGCCTCAGACTTTCCACCTTGTGGCTTACATCCTCTGAAAGGATGAGCCACTTGCTTCTGGCTAAGAGCCAGCGGATGATGGTAAAAAAAGCAGCAAAAGAGCAAAATGGCCAAAAGAGGAAGATGGCTGCATGACTAGCCCTTTTATAGGGTCTGCTAGGGTCACACCCGTGGGACGCGGATGGCGCTGTGGGTTAAACCACAGAGCCTAGGACTTTCCGATCAGAAGGTTGGTGGTTCGAATCCCCGTGACGGGGTGAGCTCCCATTGCTCGGTCCCAGCTCCTGCCAACCTAGCAGTTCGAAAGCACGTCAAAGTGCAAGTAGATAAATAGCTACCGCTCCGGCGGGAAGGTAAATGGCATTTCCGTGTGCTGCTCTGGTTCGCCAGAAGCGGCTTAGTCATGCTGGCCACATGACCCGGAAGCTGTACGCCGGCTCCCTCGGCCAATAAAGCGAGATGAGCGCCGCAACCCCAGAGTTGGCCACGACTGCACCTAATGGTCAAGGGTCCCTTTACCTTTATAGGGTCACACCCATCTACCTGGTCACAAAGGTGTGACAGGAAGTCCTCCTGTCTGGAGCAACATTCTCCTGTGTGTCCACTCTGGGCAAACAGGAACTGTTGTATTTGACTGCTTCAGTGATGTTACACCCCACAATTGGCATTCCCTGAACTTTAATTATTTGTTCTCCCACGTCATTTATTTAATAATAATAATAAATAATTTTTTTATACATACCCTGCCCTTCCCAGTTCAGAAAACCGGGCTCAGGGCGACTAACAACAAATTTAAAACACTTAATTGATGCAACAAAAAACAGCATAAAATATAGTATAAAACGCGAATAACAATAAATTCAGAATTCAAAAATCAATTTAGGGGAAAAATCCATCCAATAAACATTAGATGATCACCAGGGCTAGCTGGCTAAATGAGTCCTATTTGGGCCAGCGAGGAGACCAGGGGAGAATTAGCTGTGGGATCCAGAGAGGGTAATCTTCATAAAAAAAAGGGGGGGGAGATTAGCTTCTGTTCTCCTTCACCCTGGATTACAGAACTCGAAAACCGCCAGGAGCACCGTCTGAGGAGGTCCTTCCAGAAGGATCAGTGCCTACTTCAAGGCCAAAACCTAGCTTGGAGCACCTTTATTGACACATTCAGATAATGGAAGCTAAGCTTAGAGGAAGTCACTGCTCTTGGCAGTTCCCTTAAGCAGCTTGTTGCAATTTGCAGCGACTGAAAGCGCCCAAGCAGCTGGAGGGTCTGTTGCTCTGCCTCCGCAGCACATGCAGGAAGGGATGACTGGGCTGAGAAACAGTCGCCATGGCATTTCTGGATTCTCAGAAATGCCGGCATATGTTTTGCCTTATTTGAGGATAATTATTTTTAATTGGCAGGGGAAAATATTTCACAACAGTATTTCTTCGCTACGTTTGCCCAAATGTCCCAGTCATTTGTCTCCAAAAGATAGTGGTGGCACTAATGTTGAAATCTGCCAGCTGATGGGCAAAGTGGGAAAGGATGGCTTCCATATTCTAGGAGGCCACTTGTGTCTCCAGACCAGGGGTAGGAAACGGGGTGCTCTGTAGGTGCTGTTGGACCTCAGCTCCCATAAGCCCCAACCAATGTAGGCAATGGGCAGAAATGATGGATTTGCTAAACCATAACTCCAGATGACTTGTGCACTTCTGCTAGGGCAGCCTTCCCTAATCTGATGCCCTCCATATAATGTTGTACTACAGCTCCCTTCTTCTCTGGCCATACTAGTTGGGGATGGTGGGAACTGTAGTTCAAAACACCTAGAGGACACTAGGTGCTAAGGTGGAAAGGCTGCAGCTCATAGAGAACTTTGGGGGTGTGAACTCACAACTGGTTAATGTCATGGAGGCAGGAGTTTGAATGCACACCTGGACTAACACACTGAAGAGGGAGAATCTTACCTTGAGCATCTACAGGACCACTGAGGCTCACACAGACAAGCAGCAGAAAGACAAAGAGCTGGAAAAGACAGACACAAATTCAGCCATCATGACCCTCGTTCAGATTGTGCCCCATAGCGCCAACACTGAATGCTCTGAGCAGCAACTGCTTCTCCACTGTGTGAACCAAAACAGGGCAAAGTCACAGCTGGAACTGATGCACAGATCCCTCAGCCAACAAAACGCTGAATCAATTACCCTTACAGAGGCCAAGGAAACCATACCAGTGTTTGAGAGGCATGTGTCTGGGCATGTGCGCTCATTGCTCTTGTGGTGAGGCTTGATTGATGGACTGTAGAAGATTCAATGCTACTACTACTGCTACTACTACTACTACTACTATGCATTTAGCATTCCAATGAACCAGGATCTAATTCTATAAAAAGCACACAGCCTTCTCTAGATCTATTGCCATTTATTTTCATTATTTTCACTGTTGGCCATAGCTTCTTTAAGCCATAGAATCAGACTCAGGGTTCTGTCGTTTCCCCAGCTTAAAATCAACTCCCACGTTATTTTTCATACAACAGAGATAAATATAGCAACCAACCAGGGGGAAAAATGATACAAACCTGAGCGTTGCAGTGGCTTAACAGGCAATTTATGCTGTGTACTCTCTATACCTATTAAATGCCTTTGGAAGACGTACTTTCCTTCAAAGAGTTCTAGGCACTGTAGTTTACTGTAGTCACAGAGCTGCAACTCCCAGCACCCCTTAGCAAACTACAGTGGCCAGAAATCATTGAGGGAAAGAAGGTGCTTCAAACAGGCTTTAAAGAGAGAGTGTGTACACATTCATAATTTCACATTAGAATTGTCCCCACTAATTTTCAGGCAGCAAGTTAGAACTGTTTCATTTCAGGAGGTTTTTGCACTATGAGTGTTGTTCTTATGCTTGCTCCTCCAACGTTTCTAAACTATGTTTTGAAGTTTGTAGATCTTACATTTTTATTCTGTATAACCTGCTTTGAGACCCAGATGAAGTGAAAAGCAGAGTATATGTTTCTTTAAACAAATAAATGCCATCTTGTGTGTGTTTAAAACTGATTTATTGTTATTTCTTTCCTCTGCTAATTTATACAGCACTTCATATTTCAAAGATACAGTGGTACCTCGGGTTACATATGCTTCAGGTTACATACGCTTCAGGTTACAGACTCCGCTAACCCGGAAATAGTGCTTCAGGTTAAGAACTTTGCTTCAGGATGAGAACAGAAATTGTGCTCTGGTGGCGCGGTGGCAGCAGGAGGCCCCATTAGCTAAAGTGGTGCTTCAGGTTAAGAACAGTTTCAGGTTAAGAACGGACCTCCAGAATGAATTAAATACATAACCCAAGGTACCACTGTAATCGCTAAGCGGTTCACAAACGCCCACAAATATAAAAGTCCATTACAAAAGATAGTTTTTTTAAAAAAATTTAAAAACCTCACATTTTAGACCAGCAATGATAACAATTAGATACATCAATATAAACATTAGCAACTTTAGCAATATAAACTTTAACATACAGGCCCATGATAACGGCAATTTAGATCTCTCAGTAAAACAGCCACAGAGTATAGGGGAAATGTATTCTCCTGTAACAGCATAAACAAATTCAATTATCTCTCCCTCCTGCCCAGTTTTTAAGATTTCACTGCAGCAGCACAAAATACAAGTGAAATGTCCTGAGCCACGGCACACGTCCATTATTTTGAAAATAATTGATAAAAAGGCCTCAGGGAATAAAACAACAATTCAAACACCACACCCAGAGAGAGAGAGAGAACCCTACATGTTGTCCGCCACTGTTTTAGATTCAGAAGCTCTGCTGAGGTTTTGAGGCCTCTCAACATCCCGTCTGTGGAGCTGGAAATATACAGGCATTTCCCCTCGGTGGAAGGCAGTTTTTTCACACCAACTGCCGAAGACCTTGTGGCTTGTGCTCACACTGCTCCAAAGGATGAGAGAGCCATGATGCAGCCGTCTGAGGAGGCAGCTCTGAGCTGTCAGCCCGCCAACGTCCTACAGAGAAGCCTATTTGGAGTTTACCAAAAACCTAGTTGGAGGGGGGGCTCTCACTCCATCTGCGTCCCAAGCCTGGCTTGGGCTGTTTGTTTTTGAAGCCTCTCCTCCTGGATCCTTTCCAATCCACTGTAGTCCCAACATCAGCAAAACAGACAACCTTCCCCATGCTTTCGGCTTTGTCTTGGGGAAGCCTAATTTTTTGTTGTTGTTGTTTGCTTCTCTCCCGCAGTCACGCACGCACACATGCCAAAACTCCAAAAGTCTGATGCTTTCCGGCCGGTCTCAGACTTCTGCTTCTGAGAACCACGGCTTTGAAAGCCGGACATCCCTGGCCACACAGGCAGGCAGCTTGCTAACTATATAAGGCAAAGTCCGTACAGCAAAGAAGTTTTTTTTCCCCCTAAAAAATAAACCCTTCCTGAGATGCAAACAAGGATGGAGTGAAAAAGGCAAACTGGTGAAAACTAGGAAAATGTGTCTGCTTGCCTGTCTGGATTCTGGACTATATATCCCAAGCCTTTCACTGTCCGCTGAGACCATCTCCCTTCCTCCCAACTCTGGGTTTTTTTTTGCCATGTGGCTTTCATTTCCCCTGAGCCAGAGGGTCTGGTTCTTCTGGCAACTCCAACACCCCAAAGGGTTAATCCCTGGTAGGAAATTTTTTCTGGCCGGCAAATTGTTCCAGAGACAGGATGCAGGGGGGAGAGAAGGTTCTTATGACAAAAAAAGGGAGAGCTGGGTGGTCTATGCTGGAGAGTTGGAGGGGGGGAATCACTCACCTTCATGGCGGATGCTAAAGTCTACCAGGCGTTCCGTTTGCCGGGCATCTGCAAGCGAGCGAAAGGCCCCAATAGTCATTTCCTCCTCTTGCCACTTCCTGGCCCTGGGGAGCAGTGTGAGTCACAGGCACGTGTTCCTACATTTCTGAGTGTGTGGGTATATATACGTCGAGTCCATCGCCGTGTGTGTGTGTTTCAAACTTTGATGGCGCACTCCCTTAGAAGTAACAGGCTCCTCTGTAAAATGACGACACGGTAACCGAACCCAGAGCAGCAAATGAGGAACGAAAGAAACCACAACCCAGACTTTTATTTTTATTTTTTTGTTCTGCACGGCTAGGAGAGCGGTGAGACAAAGGCCATGGCTCCTTCACGGACATTAATTCACATAATTTGCCCAGAATATTGTGCCAACTTGGAGGGGCAGAACGTTTCAAAAAGGAACTTGAGAACACTGAGAACAGTTAGCCTGGCAGAGAAATTCTTAGGTTCTCTTTTTTGAAATGGGCGTTGGACACTCGTGGCAGGAAAAGTATAGAAAAGGTAACAAAAGTCCCAGGTTAGGTCCCTGGCAACCTCTGGCAGAGCTGGGACAGGAGAGGCCCATGGCTGAAATGATCTGTCAGTTAATGAAAGCAATACCGAGCAAGTTATGTACTGCTATGAGTTTGTAGGTGCAAGACTCCCTGAATTCCTGATCAAGCTAGGGTTAGAATTTAACTAAGGTCTGTTTGTTAAAACTGTGTGTCGGACTCATGTTAGAATCTAATCAAGATTTTTTCCAGGGACAGTCCTGGACTTACAGAAGCCGTCCCGGTTTCTGATTTTATCCTGGAATGTCCCACTTAGGAGGCCCTTATTTTCATTGGAGAAATGTTGGAGGGTAAGCAGTTATGCAACCCCTGAACCAAGGAGAGAATAACTATACAGTACAACATTTAGAAGACATCTGAAGGCAGTCCTGTATAGGGAAGATTTTAAATGTTTAATGTTTTATTATGTTTTTATATTTTTCTGTGTATAAGACGCCCCCATGTATAAGATGACCCCTATTTTTTGAGCCCAAAATTAAGAAATAATTAATTGCTACATTCTGTGTATAATACGACCCCCAATTTTAAACTTAAGAAATGTGGGGAAAATGTAGTCTTATACACAGAAAAATACAGTATGTTGGAAGCCGCCCAGATTGGCTGGGGCAACCCAGTCAGATGGATGAGCTATTATTATTATTATTATTATTATTATTATTATTATTATTATATAAAAGGTAAAAGTAACCCTTGACCGTCGTCCAGTCGCAGACGACTCTGGGGTTGCGGTGCTCATCTTGCTTTACTGGCCGAGGGACCTGGCGTTTATCTGTAGGCAGCTTCTGGGTCATGTGCCCAGCATAACTAAGCCGCATCCATATTATTATTAAATAGGACATCCCTATTTTCATTGGAGAAATGTTGGAGGGTATGGACCCATGTATATTAAGCTGTGCATCAGACACCTCTTTAATCCTAGGGAATCATCACGTTTTAATAGCTAATTAAAAAGGTAAAGGTAAAGGGACCCCTGACCATTAGGTCCAGTCATGACCGACTCTGGGGTTGCGGCGCTCATCTCGCTTTATGGCCAAGGGAGCCGGTGTACAGCTTCCAGGTCATGTGGCCAGCATGACTAAGCTGCTTCTGGCAAATCAGAGCAGTGCACGGAAACGCCGTTTACCTTCCCGCCGAAGCGGTACCTATTTATCTACTTGCACTTTGACATGCTTTCAAACTGCTAGGTTCGCAGGAGCAAGGACCGAGCAACGGGAGCTCACCCCGTCGCAGGGATTCAAACCGCCGACCTTCTGATTGGCAAGTCCTAGGCTCTGTGGTTTAACCCACAGCACCACCCACGTCCCTTTTGATGTGATTGCCTGGGGATGAGCCGTTAGGACAACACAAAGGATCAAGGGCAAATCTTATCTGCAAAGGAGTGGGCTCCCTCAACTGAGAGCTGGCTTAAAAGACATTGCAAGTGTTTTAGTTTAGAGTTTTAGGATTGCAGTTAGGAGTTTGCAACAGAGTTAATAAGCATAGTGTTGCAGAGAGCAATGGTTGAGAGCAACGGCCGAGGTCTGCTTAAGACCATGGCTGCTGTGGCAATGGGAGAAGCCAGAACCTCTTGAGGTGTTCATGCTGTGAACCCTGCCATCGTAGGCTCAAGTTGTTGTTGTTTAGTCGTTTAGTCATGTCCGACTCTTCGTGACCCCATGTACCAGAGCATGCCAGGCACTCCTGTCTTCCACTGCCTCCCGCAGTTTGGTCAAACTCATGCTGGTAGCTTCCAGAACACTGTCCAACCATCTCGTCCTCTGTCGTCCCCTTCTCCTTGTGCCCTCCATCTTTCCCAACATCAGGGTCTTTTCTAGGGAGTCTTCTCTTCTCATGAGGTGGCCAAAGTATTGGAGTCTGAGCTTCAGGATCTGTCCTTCCAGTGAGCGCTCAGGGCTGATTTCCTTCAGAATGGAAAGGTTGGATCTTCTTGCAGTCCATGGGACTCTCAAGAGTCTCCTCCAGCACCATAATTCAAAAGCATCAATTCTTCAGCGATGAGCCTTCTTTATGGTCCAGCTCTCACTTCCATACATCACTACTGGGAAAACCATAGCTTTAACTCTACAGGTTAATTCTACAGGTTGTAGAAATGTGTAAATAAACCATATATCATAAAGACACTGCAGTCTCTGCTGTGGCTCACTTCCCAAAATCTCGCTGCACGTGTATTTGACAAAGGCAGCCCTCAGTTTGGCAGCTAGCTGACACAGCACAGGCCCAGACAACCTTCTGGTAGGCTGCCCTGATCCGACACCGCGCAGTGACCTCCCCCAGGCTGCTCCAGTCCATGCGATCCGTGCGGCGTCTCCCAAGGAGCAGGAGACGGAAGACAACCAAGGTAGGAAGGGGGAGGGGCGTGCGAGCAGGTTGCAGTGGGGAGCAAGCAGGTGGGAGAGGAAGGGGTCGACAGCAAGGGCTGTGCGAGTGACAGGGTCAGCGATTGATCGCAGGGTCCAGGCCGCCATCAAGAGCAGATGGGGTTATAAGTTCCCTTTAAAATGAAGCCGTGGAGGCTGCTGTCCTGTTGCCACTGCGATTGTCAGCGGGGTTGGCTTTTGAGCACAGAATGGGAAAGGGCGCCATCTCGTGGGCAAAATAGCCCCCGGAATTATTTGCATCTATGTGTAATCTATATACAATATGTTGCAAACTGCCTTAGAATCATAGAATCATAGAATCATAGAGTTGGAAGAGACCACAAGGGCCATCGAGTCCAACCCCCTGCCAAGCAGGAAACACCATCAGAGCACTCCTGACATATGGTTGTCAAGCCTCTGCTTAAAGACCTCCAAAGAAGGAGACTCCACCACACTCCTTGGCAGCAAATTCCACTGTCGAACAGCTCTTACTGTCAGGAAGTTCTTCCTAATGTTTAGGTGGAATCTTCTTTCTTGTAGTTTGGATCCATTGCTCCGTGTCCGCTTCTCTGGAGCAGCAGAAAACAACCTTTCTCCCTCCTCTATGTGACATCCTTTTATATATTTGAACATGGCTATCATATCACCCCTTAACCTCCTCTTCTCCAGGCTAAACATGCCCAGCTCTCTTAGCCGTTCCTCATAAGGCATCGTTTCCAGGCCTTTGACCATTTTGGTTGCCCTCCTCTGGACACGTTCCAGTTTGTCAATGTCCTTCTTGAACTGTGGTGCCCAGAACTGGACACAGTACTCCAGGTGAGGTCTGACCAGAGCAGAATACAGTGGCACTATTACTTCCCTTGATCTAGATGCTATACTCCTATTGATGCAGCCCAGAATTGCATTGGCTTTTTAGCTGCCGCGTCACACTGTTGGCTCATGTCAAGTTTGTGGTCAACCAAGACTCCTAGATCCTTTTCACATGTACTGCTCTCAAGCCAGGTGTCCCCCATCTTGTATTTGTGCCTCTCATTTTTTTGCCCAAGTGCAATACTTTACATTTCTCCCTGTTAAAATTCATCTTGTTTGTTTTGGCCCAGTTCTCTAATCTGTCAAGGTCGTTTTGAAGTGTGATCCTGTCCTCTGGGGTGTTAGCCACCCCTCCCAATTTGGTGTCATCTGCAAATTTGATCAGGATGCCCTTGAGTCCATCATCCAAGTCGTTGATAAAGATGTTGAATAAGACCGGGCCCAAGACAGAACCCTGTGGCACCCCACTAGTCACTCTTCTCCAGGATGAAGAGGAACCATTGATGAGCACCCTTTGGGTTCGGTCAGTCAGCCAGTTACAAATCCACTGAGTGGTAGCATAGTCAAGACCACATTTTACCAGCTTCTTTACAAGAATATCATGAGGCACCTTGTCAAATGCCTTGCTGAAATCAAGGTAGGCTACATCCACTGCGTTCCCTTCATCTACCAGGCTTGTAATTCTGTCAAAAAACGAGATCAGGTTAGTCTGACATGACTTATTTTCAGAAATCCATGCTGACTATTGGTGATCACAGCATTCCTTTCTAGGTGCTCACAGACTGTTTGCTTAATGATCTGCTCCAGAATCTTCCCTGGTATTGATGTCAGACTGACTGGGCGGTAATTATTTGGGTCCTCTCTTTTCCCTTTTTGAAAATAGGGACAACATTTGCCCTCCTCCAGTCTGCTGGGACTTCACCTGCTCTCCAGGAATTCTCAAAGATGACCGCCAGTGGTTCTGAGATCACATCTGCCAGTTCTTTTAATACTCTTGGATGCAGTTCATCTGGCCCTGGAGACTTGAATACATCTAAACTAGCCAAGTATTCTTGTACTATCTCCTTAGTTATTCTGGGCTGTGTTTCCTTTGCTGAATCATTTGCTCCAAATTCTTCAGGTCGGGCATTGTTTTCTTTATCAGAGAAGACTGAGGCAAAGAAGGCATTGAGGAGTTCAGCTCTTTCTGTGTCCCCTGTTTGCATTTCACCATCTTCTCCTCTGAGTGACCCCACTGTTTCTTTGTTCTTCCTTTTGCTACGGACATACCCATAAAAGCCTTTTTGTTGCTTTTAACCTCTCTAGCAAGCCTGAGTTCATTCTGTGCTTTAGCTTTTCTGACCTTGTGTCTACACGTGCTGGCTATTTGTTTGAATTCCTCTTTGGTGGTTTCCCCCCTTTTCCATTTTTTGTAAACATCCTTTTTTAATCTTAACTCAGTTAAAAGTTCTTTAGATAGCCACCCTGGCTTCTTTA